CACAAAAAAGAACTCCCCAATTCTAAAACAAGCAAACGTCACACCCCGCTGTTGTGTCGCTCATCCGCGCAGCCCCACCAACTCCGAGAGGGGGGAGGAAGGGGGGCCCCAGACCTGCGCCGGCTGCTCCAACAATCAGTTCAGAGGCCGAGTATCAAAAACTAAGCAAAAATCTGCTGACCAGAGGGAGGGAGGGTGTCAGGAAGCCTCTGGGGCTTACCCAGAAAATGGCATTTCATTACATTCAACTCTGGTTTTCTGTGGGGAGTCCCTACAGCTCTCCAGAGCTACCTAACCAAAGAAAAGTGAAAAGAGGGGCTTACCCGGGAGGCGGCTGCCACTTGCTTCTTAACTCAAAGTCGAGACAACTGGCTGCAACCTGTGACCTAAAGCGACATACACCCAACTAGGGCCAGGTAACAGGTGGCCAGGACCCTCTTTGACCTTCAAAATCCTAGTGCAAACTTACAAACGTCATGGGCACAAGGATAGACTGGAGGCTAGCTGGACCGAATAACCCTGCGGACAACCTGGGAGACTCGAGCTCTGGAACAAGGAACAAGGGAAACCAAGTCAACCCAAAGTGCATCCCCGGCCACAGAGGCCGTGGCGCACAAGTAATGGAGAAGAGTCGCAACCAGACACCACATGATGCACCTCCGGCCCAACCAACCAAGCACCCAAAACCCAAGGGCCCCACTAGAAAGCAGCCGACTCGTTCTTCGCCAGAAAGAGAGACTGCTGCAACCGAACAAACATCCACCAGAACCAAAAGAGCAGAAACCCCTGTGCAGAAGGAGAGCATGAAGCTCCCCAACGGAGGAATGAACCGAGACAGGCCGTTTCAGATATGAACGCCCGCCCCCCCACCCACCCAGATATGAACTGCATGGAGAGTCAAATCCCGAGAATCCAGTAGATGAATCACTCAAAGTGACCAGCCCCAAAGAGCCAAGGACCAAAGAGAACCCCTGCAGTTCAGGCAATGAACCACCAGAGTACAGTCTGAATGGAGCCGGATGGTTGAACCCCAAGCGACAGCCAAACAGCTGTGAACTCCCACATCGTGCTCTGAGCCCGCTGGAAGGACGGTCCCCACAGACCCTGGCCAGTTTGGTAAGCGCTGGTCACAACGCCCAAGCCGAGAGACGAAGCATCTGTGAACACAAAGAGCGAGGGCTCCGGTAGGCACCAAGGCACTGAACACCGAAGAGGAAGCTGGCGATGCAGTAACCGACGCAAGGCAACCAGAGGCCGAACCTAGCGATCACGAGATGGGCGAAAGGGACAGCCCCGAAGAAACCAGAACAGCCGCCAAAGCCAAACCCGACCCGGTTGGTAAACTAGCACGGCAAAGTTCAGACTCTCGCAACTGCCGAGTGACCCGGGAGCCCCCAAAACAGTTGAAGGCGGGACTGCAGCTGCAGCAACACATCCAGAGGGAGAGACAAGGAAGCAGTCCAAGAGAGAAAGAACCACTCTCCTGGTGAGCAGACATGCAAACCGACTGGAAGCCCACACCAGCCAGTCATCGAGGTAGGCCAGAACCCGAACCCCTAACAGACGCAGACTTAATACTCCGGGAAGACGTGTGAACATGCGAGGTGACAGATTCAGGCCAAACGGATGGCAACGAAAACGGAAAGCCTGACGCCCCACCACAAAACCTAACCAGTCAATGAACCCCGGATGAATCGGGACGTGGCAATATGCGTCCCAGAGGTTCAAGAAAAGCCAGACCTGAGACAGGGTGGTCATCCGAAAGGAGGGGCAATAGATCCAGGGGATTCATACGGGAAAAGTCCAGAATAAACCTCAGATCCACACAGTCCCATTTTTGGACTGGGAACAGGCAGAAAACCCACCTGAGAGATGTGGACATTTCGACCACACCCAAGCGTACCCACTCCAAGATGGCCTGACAGAGTGCAGGGAAAGAGGCCTATCCTGCACATGGAGCTGCACAACGGCGACTTCTATAGGAAGCACAAGCATGCATTAAGGCACTCAAACTTGCCCGCCAGGTAAACCTGTACAACGGAAGAAATCTCCTGCCAATCAAGTGTGCGGATCTAACAAAACCCATGCCACGCGCCCAATGAAAAGAAAGGGCAGTCCGCCAGCCAGGAAGACTCCCGTATCTTGTAATGCACCCAAAAGGGAAAAGTCGACCCGAACTCAAAAGACGACGGCTCCATCACCGAGGCATAATCCGGGTCTCGCAGGAGGTACACAGCGATGGCCTCCCAGAACCTCCCTAGGTGAGATTCAAGAAGCCGAAAACTTTCGGAAGGAAGGAACCGAAGAACTCAAGTGAACCCGGAACCAAACACGAGGAGGAACCAGCGCAATAGGCCATTACTTCCCTAGCCTCTCTAGAGGGGGGACAGGTTCTGGCTCGTGGTCCCCGGTATGCAAGAACTCCATCAACTGTCTAATACATACATATCAGCCCGGTAAGCTCCAGGAAGCAATAGGGGCTCCCCACAGAAAACAGGTACAGTATAACCCTAATTGTTAAACTATTGTCATACGACATTAGCCACCGCGTTGTGGGGTACCAATCCACAAACAAGAAAGATCAACATATTTTAGGAACCTAACATGGCACTGACTGACTCTACATCATAAACAATAACACCTCCAAAAAGCCTGCCTTGACAAAGATAAAACTCAATAAGACCAACAGTATTAGTGAACAAGACACTGCTTTACAGCACAGGAATCGGCTCTACCATACCAATATTGCACTACCATACTAACCTTTCTCTACCACACCAGCTACACATTTCATCAACCTTCTGCTACCATACTAGTCTTTACACCTCACCAACATTCCATTGCTACACCATTCCCCCCCCCCCCCCCCCCCCCCCCCCCCCCCCACTACACCAACCTTCTACTACCATACCAATCAACCAACATTCCATTACCACAATTAATCCATTTTTCATTCACTACATAGCACTTTGTGATTCTAACTACACTAGAAAAACATTTCCAACCTCAGCTATGCAATACCTTATTTAACATTCATTTTTCATCCATCCTTTTCATTCAACAAATGTTTGTTGTTATCACAGTCGCCGTTGATCTCATCAATGGTCATCAGTATAGTTTATATTCTATACTTACTGATAATACTAATACATTATCTACTACTTCTACTACTACTACTAATAATAATATTTAACAAATCCATAGGAGCCGTGATGAAGGTTCGAACCTATGCACTGGATGTTCCCAGACGTATGCTCTAGTTGACTGTGTTACAACATTGGGGTAATTTTGTGAAACCACGGTTCAGCTTCAGAGGAAGCCTTGGGATTCTTGTGGGTGCAGTAGTAGTACCTCAGGTTGCGATTCTTTTACCATGTGGTTTAGTCGACTAGAGCATGCATCTGGCAACACCCAGTGCATAGGTTCAAACCCTCATCACGGCTCCTATAGATTTGTTTACCGATATATCACGATAATGTGATTTCTCTGCGTTACCATCACTAATAATGGTAATGTCATCTCACAGACATAATGATATAGGATAAAAACCAACACTTGTGTATTGATGAAATTTATGTAAGTTATTTACACCAAGTCTTTCACACTCTCCTGAGTGCTTTATCAAGGTCTAAGTGTGTGATTAGGAAGAGACTTGTATCTTAATGTCTAAGGAGGCTATGTTCTCCTAGGTCCAGTCCTCTTATTCTTCTTGACCGCCTAACCATGTCACCTCTATTCCCGACTGGCAATGTACCTGCAGTAATGCCTTCCATGGAAATATGGTCACGTACCCTTTCTGTAATCCTGCTATTCTGGGAACTGGAATTGTTTTAATTGAGGTGTTCAACTGAATGCTAGCCATCGTAACTCTTCATATCCCAAGGAGCATGGCTAATGGGATTGCTTTCATTTATCCATTTATTGACATCTAATTTTAATTCACTCAACCATTTTCCTAGTAAAGCCATCCTCTGAAGTAAAGTTTTTGTTACCAAATGAAAGCATTCAGAGTATTTATTAGTACCTCTTCCACTACCCTTCTGGTTCTAATATTATTACTTTTATAGATCATTTCACACTTCTTAAAATTAATATTGTGATCTTGATCCCAATTATGGCTATCTACCATAATTTATCCCAACTATGGTCTCTACAGCACTGTTACCAGCCATAATTCTACATGCTTGCTCATCTTCTTCAATTGTGATCTTCAGTTAACCCCACATTAGACTTTATTACAATCTCTACAAGGTAATATATGAATTAGATCTCAATAAATGGATGAATGAAAGCAGTCCCATTAGCTATGCTCCTTTGAATATAACCCTAATTGTTAATGGAGAGGGTTACGATGGCTAGCATCTAGATGAACACCTTAATTAATAACGACTCCAGTTCCCAGAATAGCAGGATTACAGAAAGGATACATGACCATAGTTCCGTGAAAGGCATTACCACAAGCACATAGCCAGTCTGGAATAGAGGTGACATGCTCTGGCGGTCAAGAAGAATAAGAGCACTAGACTCAAGATAGCAGCATCATTAGACATTGAGATGTACGTCTCATCCTAACCACACACTCTGACATTGATAAAGCACTCAGGAGAGTGCAAAAGACTTGGTGTAAATTCCTTACATAAATTTCACAAATACACAAGTGTGGGATTTTATCAAATAATAATAATAATAATAATAATAATAATAATACAGTAACAACAACAATAATAATATTTGTCATTTCAAAATAACTGCAGCCATTGCAGCCAGATCAATATGACATTCAGTGCAACTAAGCTATATACAGTAATTATATACCAAGTGTGTCAGTTAAATAATGTATAATTATAATTCCCAGGCTAAGATTTCCATAGCTATCACAAAGTAAAGCTTATTATATCCACTTTTAACTAATATTACAGTATTATCAGTCAATTCTAAACCACTTTACAGTACATCCACTCAAAGTAATACAGTACTTTTAAAGTTAATTATACAATTTATCTTCAACAATTATTTACTTGCTATATTTAAATACAGTAGTCATATTTCCTTTTATGCAAAAACATATTAAACCATGATTTATCTAAAATCAACTCACCTTAGATCTATAATACAAATGTAAGTAATGAGGGAACTTTGGAAACAAGTGACACATACAAACTTGTGTATCATCAACTAGGAATAAGACCCCGTATAAAGCAGTTATAAACAATACATTCTAAAAGTACTAGTATAGTCCTCTTACATAAATGCAGGGTTCAAACAAAGGTGTGGGGGGGGCGGGGCTACAATACTAGTTACAGTACTTTTCAACCAATAATCACATGCTAGAATTTTCTTGTTATGGTGTGATTTGTAGCCCAATAATTGGTGTCGTGGATGAACTATACCAATGGCCAATGGCTGCAGGAGCAACTGAGGGGTCTTTCATCAGAAAAATTTTAAATTTAAATTTTCAACAATATAAAGACAAATTTCTCCTTATTGTTAATTTTAATTTTGATTTTTTCTGAGATAACACCCCTTAGTCATTTCCATAGCCAAAACCCATGTGGTTTAGCCAGGACATCAATTATTGCTCTATTAATTACCACGCCATAACAAGACTACCCGCCCGCCACTGTATGTCTGCACCGAACATCACAGTAGGGAAGATGATGGCAGCCCTCAATGTCTAATTTCCACTCTATTCACTTGCCACCTGTGCAGAGACAGGTCTTCAGGCAAGTAGTGTGCTGTGCTATACTTAGCCCTGCTGTTCTTGGGGACTTTTTTGTCAGTGTATGAGGCCCACCTTTGTGTTGGGAAGCTGCTTTATTCCCATTTTTGGTTGAAGTATGATGCCTCCTTGGGTTCACTTTGGGTCCAGTTCAGGGACTGTGTCTGAACAAGATCTGTGTCCGAGTTTAGGCCCACCATATCCTGGGTACATATGATGTCTCTGCCTTGTCATGGCTTGTGGACAACCCAGTCCTTTTGCCAGACTTCAGTAGTGAACAAAAAGAAGGTGTCATTTGTTAACATTCCTGTTATGTACTCCTGTCCTGCCTTGTGAGGTGTGGAGTTAAACAACCCCATGTCCAGATTTCTTCTCTTGTCCTTTACTTTGCTTGCTGTAAACTTTAAGTCTGACTCATAATTGGCTGATATGGTTCAGAGCATCGCTTCCCAGGAGCTCTTCGCTACTGTTCGGAGCTTACTTCTCTGGGGGTTGTGGTGTTTGCAGCATTGTTCTCTGATTTTTCAACAGAGCCCCGGAAGCACCTCAAGGTAACCTCAAGATAGCCTTGTCTGAGAGCAGACTGTCCTCAACCTGGACAGTCTGCTCTCCAGGTTGAGGACAACACACTGGAATCCACTTACCTAATTCACTGCTGCTGTCCATTTCCTTTTCTGCATTTTTTCCTAAGGAGGATGTGCTGTAGGTTCTGAACTCTGCACATACCAACCCATCCTCCTGTCTTGATACTACAGTACTTTTTGTAACTATGTGGACAATTGTACACACATAGACATAATAGACAGATAGTAGAATTTAGTGCTATTCACTTTATGGTCTTGAAAAATAAAGATAAAACCAAGCTTAATATTCTAAGGCCTAGTGTAACATACATGTACTATATTAGGCCTCAGTGTGTATTGGGCCAAGGAAGGTTAGGTTAAGTTTTCTTTGCAACATCAGTACAAAAACTTTTCTGGTTTGTCAAAATTCAGTAGAACTGATTTCAACTTTCTAGTGTCCTTTCATGTCAATATATATGTACGATGGTCCTCATCATTACTGTAAGTACAGTACTACCTAATCAGGATGGGCTAGCGCACACAGCCTTCCAGGCACTCCACTGTGTATTAGTTAAAGCAAACCCCACAAGCATAAAAGAAACACATGTTTGGAACTCGATAGATTGATTGTCTTCAAAATATAGCAAGAAGTTACCAAACTGACATGGGTGGAATCATACCAAACAGCACTACAGGACTTTGAGATAACCAGAAATGAAGAAAGAAGGTATTTGCTGGAGCTGGACAACTAAGGCGGTGGGGATCATATTAGATGTAACCATGGTTACTAAGAGCAGCAGAAACCTTGTCCTGGCTGCTTATTTTGAGATCTAACAAGTCACTGGAAAAAGGAGAACTACCAGAGAGCTGAAAGACAGCTAATGTTGCACCAATATAAAAAATGGAAACATACTGCAGGCATTAAACTACTAGCATATCATGCAAGATGATGGAAAAATAATTAGAAAGAGGGTAGTAGAACATTGGTGCATGTTAATTCTCACAAAATTGAGATAAGGTAGGAGTGATGGAGAAAACACTCCAATGGATAAAGATGTACCTCTGCAACAGAAGGACAATGAGAGAAGAAGAGACCTCAGAGTGGTGGGATGTTACCAGTGGCATCCCATAGGGGTCAGTACTGGGGTCAATTCTATTTCTTATCTATGTTAACAACCTAACATTAAGTGATCACCTACCAGTGATCAAATTTCTTCTTCTTAATGTTTGTTGAAGATGCACAAATTATGAGAGGAATAAAGACAATGGTAGACTGCAAGAAACTACAGGATGATTTGGGGAAGAAAAAAAAATGGTCCCCTCAAGTAGCTACTAGACCTAAATTCAAGCATGTGCAAAGTAATGAAGCCGAGTGTTAGGAACTAGATGACAACATGAGGTACCACTTGGGAGGAATTATGCTCCTAAACTCAGACAGAGAAAACAACTTGGAGGTTGATATTACACTAATCCTGTCGCCAGACACCCACATCAAATATTATCAGCTGTACTGCATCTGGAAGGTTGGCCAACATAAGAACTGCCTTTAGGAATATGAACAAAAAGAGTCTTTCAGAACCTTGTTTATCATTTATGTCAGACCAATTCTGGAATATATAGCACCAGAGTGGAGTCCTTATCTCATTAAACATGAAACAATGCTGAAGAAAGTTCAGAGGTATGCATCGGATTAGTCCCAGAGCTGAGAGGTATATGAAGACTGAAATAGTTAAGACTCGTGTAGCAAGAACAGAGGAGAAGAAACAGGGGAGACATGATCACTATATTCAAAGTACAGTACTCAGGGGAATATGGCAGATAAGGACACTACTGTATTACACATGAGTAGCACATTAGAAAGATTTTTTTCACCGTCAGGATAGTGAACAAATCTAATGTGCTACAAAGTGAAATGGTAAAGGTCAACACCATTCACAGCTTTAAATTGTGATATTGACAGCCCGATATGCTCTAGAACACATACATTAGTCGATTATGGATTGAGAGGAGGGAGCAAAGGGCTATTGTGCACTCCCTTCGCTCACCCTGTCCCCACAAGTGTAACTAAGTGAGCAGCTAGCCCTAGGTTCCTCATTCTCCAGGGAGATATAAGGGTTCTGTTTCCTAGGTTGTTCATGTATGTAATCCCCCTTCCTCATCCACCTCCTGGGAAGTGGGCTCAGTGATTGCCTGGTACCAGCAGATTTTGGCAAGGCTACTTTCATGGGTCCTGCTAACTCTTTTATGAGGGAGCAGTCTGGGAACAGTCTGTGCACCTTTTGAAATATGTGTAAAACAACCATATTTGGACTCTTCGGATGGTGATCCAAACTCTATGTTGAATCCAGTTGCTGCAAATGCCTTCCCTACTTTTTCTTGTGACCTGCCCCTTTGAGAGAACCAGATACTGCTCCCCACTCCGGGTAGATCAGCATGGGTTTCAAAGGCCTGGCATGATCCTAAGGCTTAGCAGTACCAGTGCTCAAATACTTAGGAGATACTGAGGAGGGACTTTCCAGAAAAGCTAACTTCTCACCAGTAAGTTTTGCTCTTGGTAATAGTATAATTTCAATGTAAAAATACAAAAGTAGCTGCAATATGAAATAAATACCATAACACTGCAGTTTTGTGAGTATTAGCCTTGACAAGTTAGGTAGCATGCTTAGGTTAAAATGTTTCTGCTTAGACAAAGCAAATGTAATTTTTATAATATAAAATATCAAATCATGAGAACAGGCTGGAGTAACACCCACCAGAAGAGAAGGCTAGCAATATACATAAAATATATCAGTAATCGTACTGTCTTAAATTATGACCCATTTGCAACAAAATACTTTTGTGCATTCTTCTATCACATGCTTTGCACAAAGGAAATTTTATGCTCTATGCTACATCCCAAAGTGGTAAAAGTACGTCAATCCTAATTTAAAATATAACAAACATTCTATCTCATCAAACAGAATGAATTAGTAACTCTGCATCACATTCTTTGGGGTACAGGAATAAATTACATCTAAAGCTCATGTACAGTAAAGTATCGTCAATACATTGAACATGTACAGTATGTCACATCTTTATGCTATCATCTTATAATGCAGTTTTTATTACATCTAAAACTAAATATATTGTATGACTCACCTTGCCTTTATTGTATGACTCACCTTGCCTTTATTGTATGGCTCGCCTTGCCTTTATTGTATGGCTCGCCTTGCCTTTATTGTATGGCTCGCCTTGCCTTTATTGTATGGCTCACCTTGCCTTTATTGTATGGCTCACCTTTCCTTTATTGTATGGCTCACCTTGCCTTTATTGTATGGCTCACCTTGCCTTTATTGTATGGCTCACCTTTCCTTTATTGTATGGCTCGCCTTGCCTTTATTGTATGGCTCACCTTGTGCTAATGCACAAAATATTGCAGGTGATCTACATTAAGTACTGTATTTAGTTTGTCTACCATGATACTTGTATAGATTGTATTTTGATCATTATCAATATTCTTTGCATCATACCGTCAATGATCTGAAATATTCTATCCCTTCCGTAACCTTTATTAAATTCCTAAGATGTGACACACTAATTCTACTTAAAGGTTCTCCAACCAATTCTTGTTTGGTATCATCAGTCTCTCCCTAATAAGTATGGAATGACTCATTAAATAGCCTTCAAATCTTATTTCTACATCAGCACCTTTCCCTAGTGACTAGTTTGCATTTAATACCAAACCAACTAAACTCTTGAAGAACATCCCTGAAAATTCTCAACACACTTCTAAGCCTCCGGATAAGCTTGATAGCCCATGTAGTGGTAGAGGAAGCGGTGGGCTGGAGAGTAGGGTTGGATTTGGTGTGGTACGCTATGAGAGGGGAGGTTTTGCAAGTCTCCAAGATTATTGTCACACATTACTGAACCATGTGTCTGAGGCCTGCTGAAATGATATACTGTATGGAGAAATTCAGTGGTTAGTATTTTCTACAGCACAATTATTAAATGTTAATGTAAAGTTTCCATTTAAAATTCTACTTTACACAAAAATATTACACAATGATTTTTCTAATTGATCACTATATTTCCCCAACATATCTATACAGTATTTTGAACATTGCATAATATATATGAAGTAATATTCTGGACATTTTTTAAAATCCTTTGTAACCCAAAACTTTGTCATTATCAATTCAACAGAATCCAGTCATACAAACATACAAACCAAATCTTGCTGCAAGAAAATAAGACAAAGCACCACCCAAGATAAAGCAGACTGAAAAGGATTCACCCCAAGAATAACATCAAACAACTAAGAGAAGACAATGCTAGTAAAAAAACAGTTTTTGTTAATGGCACTAGAAAAGTAAAGCTACCATAAAGTCTTCAGTAAATATAATCCTAATAGGGCATAACATCAGCAGTATATGGGAAGTTAGCAAACATAAGAATGTCATTTAAGAATCTAAACAAGGAGGCTTTCATGACCATACACACACTGTTTAAGTGAGACCATTATTTGAGTTAGCAGCACCATAATGGAACCCACACCTTGTGAAGATTCAACAGGAACTTGAGAAAGTTCAGAGCTTTACAACTAGATTAGTACCAGAACTGAAAGGGTTCAGCTATGAGGACAGCTTGAGGGAACTAACCCTCACTACCTTATGGGAAAAGAAGAAACAGAGGGGTGATATGATAACTACATATAAGATCATGAGGGGACTAAAGTGGATAAATGAAGCCCATTTGAATTAAAAGAGGTAGGACAAGGGGACATCGGTTGAAGCTGGACATGCACCCAGTTAAAGAGATGTAAGGAAGTTCCCATTTCCTGTATGGGTGGTAGGCAAGTGGAATGCATTAAATGAAGAGGTTGCTGAAGCCAATTCCATCCACAATTTTAAAAAGAAATATGATGAAAACAATGTTGAGAAGGGGTCATTTGCATGCCAGGTATGAATGCCTAGAAAGCAGAACATAAAGAGCTAGGTCTCACTGACCCATAGTCATTGCTAGGTAAGGAGAGGTAAGCACAGACAGACTTGTATACAATACATACTGTGGGTGGAGATACTGGTGAGCATACAAGTGGCTGAATGACCCATCCTCCTCACTCTCACTTACTCTGCTCCCAGTCCGAGCCATTGGCTCCAGAATTGGTGGGTATGACAGAAGCTATGGAATAAAGAGTGGAATGTGACACACTATACAAGATATAAAATAAACTGTTTAATGAAAAAATTAATTCTTACATAAGTACACAAGAGCACAGTTTCATTCTCAGAAGTGAACACTTCTGAGTATGAAATACTGTATTAAATAGTACCTGACCTTGACTTTTCAAACTTTATATATATATAACTTACAATTCTTCAAATTGTATGACACATTTTGATGTAAATCATAATTAACTTTTGAATATGTTGTACCCACACACATCCTGTTAACATATCTACACATCCTCTGTTAACATACTCACACGTATACATGTCGGTGTATCAGTCAGTTTAAATTCTTCAGATTACAAATTATATACTGTACTAAACATATGTAGATGACACCTTACAGGAATGAGCTTACCACTGGCTTCTTGACTCTGAAGAAGATAACAGAGATGAGAGTGGGCAGGTACTCCCACAGTAACTGCACAACGATGAACGTGTAGTAGCCATATTCACTGTCACTCAAAAGATCAACCTGAAGTGATATATTTTGTGAAAGATTCAACTCTCAACCAGTATCTTCAGCATGACAAAATTATTAATACTGTATATCATATATGAATAAAATAATCTACAGAATGCCTATTTGCCCATGCAACGCAGCTCCATACTTTATATTGTATAGCCAACTGATTATATTCATATACCATGTACTTCACTTCTCTGGGTGTGAGCAAAAACTTCATGTAGGTACAGTAAATTATTTATTAATAAATGACATGGGAAATGTTTAACTTTGAACAAAAGGTTTTTGCCAAAATTTTCAGTGTATATTTTTTGAATATGAACAATTTACAAGGTGCACTTAAATTTAAGTGGGTAACCCTTTAACACGGTAATAAGTATTTTGGACAGTAGGTAATATTTATATACAAGATATTATTATTATTATTATTATTATTATTATTATTATTTGCCACAGTAAATCTTCCTCTAAGATTTCCATCTCCTCATCTCTCTATCGGCTACTTAATGCCCTTGCCTCCCTCATCTCATCACAATCGACTTGATAATGGTCCAGGACGGACCGAAACATCATCGTCTCTTCAATTTCTAGTGTGTGGTTTGATCAACATTTTTCAGACACGTTATTGATGCATCAATCTTTGATCCACCAATCTTTCCCTAGTAGCTTACTTGCAGGTTCTGTAACCCTGGGGTCCTATTTTTTTATGGGATCTGTTTAAAATTTATGGAAGATTGACTGCGAATATTGCATTGACTAGGGTGTCACTTAGAATGTCCCCCCTCTCCAAGGTCAGCATTGCCGGGTTTACAAGAAAGAATTTCTACATATTAAAATAATTTTGGAAAACTTCAAAAGTTATTTACAATAATACATATTCCAAAGATAAGGTGCATTACCTGGTCAGTGTCATACACCCAGTCAATATTGGGCACAAGGGCCAGGATGTTGGCGACAGTTCGACACAAGTAGAGCGTCACAACCAGTATGCCCACACTGCGTGCCCCGGTTTGAGTCATATCCTGGACAAAAAAGAATGAACAAAATTATACTTCCACAGCATGAGACACACCCATCCATGTTATCCATCATATTCCAAATTAATGGTAATGAGCACAATCAGTACATATCAAACCTCACCCATACCTCAGTTTCTAGAAGAAGTCGAACCTCAGCAGTTTTTGCCACCTGTACAATCAAGTATGCCAAGGCAGCGGCCATTGCAATGAACATCAGACCATTGATAATAACTCGAATGTAAATTACATATGGCACAACCCCTGGTAGTTTGGCAAGGAGCAGCTTGGGACTAGGAAGACCAGCATCTGATGGGGCTAGTGACAGGGAAAACAAAACAGTATGGTAAACCAGGGTTTTTTTGAGTCAAGTTAATACATGTAATAACGATAATTTAAAGATTTAGTTGTATGGATAGAGATGCAGGTACCAAGGGAACAAGACGGGAATAAAAAAAATTTATGTTGATGCTAAGGTAACATTGATTATGAATCTGAACAAGTAAGATCATTATTACACACTACATTGTCTAATTTAGTGTTAAATAAAAGACTACAGTATTAAGGGTAAGATTTATTCAGAGTTTGAGTAATTAATTGTTATCCGCTATAAGAGCAAAGAACATCAAGAGATCCTGCAAATAAATATTTTTATTAAAATACAGTATACAGTAGTACTGTACAGTACATCAATGACATAAAATCAAGCTTTAAATGTAACAAAATTCCCTGGTCTGGTGGAGTCCTTGGTAGGTTCCTGGGCTAAACACTGCTGGAGCCAAGCTTTAGGCAGATGCAGCAGGCCTCCCAGATCTACCCTTACCTACTGAAAGTCATGACCAGAATTTGGATCTCTCTTTGAGGTAAGGGGAAGAGGGACGATTAGTAGTAGGCATCCATGAATCCTATGGGGTTATGGTGTAACACGGGTTGTCGTTCCTCTCTCTACTTATCTTCCTTCTACTCCCCCTACCCGTATTCTTACTTTTTATTCTCTACCAAGGGACTCCAAAACTTTTACCAAAGCCAACTCCACGCCACGTGGTCCTAAGACGATAGACCGACTTAGGATTCTACACCCAGTATGACGTGACCTAGGCTCTGAGCAAAACCCTAGAGTCGCCTCTACGCTGCCACCACCAGACCAGCAACACAGAGCAATGATCGAGGTCTGGATCGATCACGCTAATTAATCAACCTTGGGGCTTGATCCCCACTCGATGACCGTGGAAACTTAAGAGTGTGAAATTAATTACACGGGAATGATTCGATGTTAGAATCGATGTTAGAATCGGCGCCCAATCCAACTCTACCTCGTGTGGACCACGTGACCAGGACAAGTATACACATAAAACACATGGAAATAATAAAAATGCAATTTACTAACAAATTTAATTTATTAAAAGAAAACTAAAACAAAAATCTAAATATGTTCACTCCCTGTCACTTTAACACTCCCTACTTGACCTGAGTGGCAATGAAGACTATTCTATAAATAACCATAGCAACTATACCTCTATGTTTTACCAGCTAAAGATGTTGGGCTGGTCTCGGGGAGAGGTAAGATGTTTGACCTCTCCCAGCTGCTCCTGTTTCCACACTGATTGTCCTCGTCTGATCTAGCCCAGACTAGAACATTGTATCCTTCCGCCTAGTCAAAGTTTTACCAAGTTACTAGCCAGGTTTAAGTTATAACAATTAACCTCTGTTGTACTTAATTGATCCAGACTGGTTGAATTATTTTACTGAAATTAAATTACACAAACATCTAACGGCAAAGCTGTTCCCGATCCCCCAAAAATGGATAATTGAACTTTGAGAAATAGTAGACCTGTCAACCCTGATGACCTATGACCGCCGGTCACTCCGCCTTACAAGTTAGATCTGATTCGTGACGTCACTGATGGTGACTTAAACTCAATAATTAGAATCCTCTTGATGTTGTACCCAGTACTATTATACAATACAATTTTAATACAAAATGAATAAAGGCTAATTTCTCAAAATTACTGAATACTATAGGATGATTCATTATACGCAGCTATGAACAAAGCGTTGGTTATTTCCACCGCGAATTCCCCTGGGGTCAGGTCCCCAGGTCACCATGCGGGCTCAGCTTCCCATTCTCTTTTGTCGATAAACCACTCTGGATAATTCTTACAACAGCCTAGTTTGTTACAATGGAGTTATGCCCTTGGTGTCTGGTTGGGTGCAACGTCTGCTGTGGCTGTGAAGTCCAACCCGAGAACGGCAGTCCCGATAGCAATGAGTGCAGATAAACTCCAAAGTGGTTGTGTCTGTCAGTGGTTGAGACTTTCTCCACGGTCTCTTTTCCTCCGCCTGCCTCTTCAGTTCTCCCTCGAATTGCTGGAGTCCCTTCCGCACTTTGCATTTCCAGGCAGATCTGTCCGCAGCTGCTGCCTCCCAAGTGTTGATGTCGATGTTCAGCTACTTGAGGTCGCGTTTGCGGGCATCTTTGAAAAGCAGCTAGGATCCAGGTGGCCTCTTTCCTGATGCCAGTTCTCCACACAAGAGGTCCTTCGGTATGCGGCCATCTTCCATGAGTGTGACGGGTGGGCAACCAATTTTGGCCAGAATCTTAAAAAGTCCGTCCCTGCTCACGAGGTCGACGGCCTTTGTAAAATCAATGAAGGCGATGTACAGGGCTTTTCTCTGTTCCCAGCACTTTTCTTGAAGCTGTCTCGGGGAGAATACCATGTCAGCGGTAGACCTCTCGGCTCTGAAACCACACTGTGATTCTGGGTACATTCTTTCAGCAAGAATCTGGGCGCCTAACCAAAACGACCTTGGTGAAGAGTTTGACGATGACGCTAAAAAGGGAGATGTTGCGATAGCTGTTGTAATCGCTTCTGTCACCTTTATTTTTGTAGAGAGTGATGATGTTTGTATCTCATTTCTAGTGGCACCGAGCCTTCCCTCCAGCACTGGCACAGATATTCATGAAGCTCAGTTTTAAGTGTTCCTCAAGCGCACTTGAGAACTTCAGGCGGAATGCCGCCATCTCCAGGGGCCTTCCCTGAGGAAGGTGAATCCTGTGCTTTCTCATCTTCTTCCACAGTCGGTTCAAGATCAAGTTCTTCCATGGTGGGCAGGAACTCGATTGCATCCAGGGCCTCTACGCTGACCAAGTTCTCTCTGGAGTAGTTTAGAGTAATGTTCCACCCAGCGATTCATCTGCTGATCACGGTCTTTAATGATCTCTCCGATGGCTGACTTTAGAGGAGCTGTCTTGTTTTGTGTGTAGGGCCTATTGCCTGTTTGATCCATTCATACATGCCTCTTATGTTGCCAACAGTGGCCGAAGTCTGGATGCTGGAACAAAGTCGGAGCCAGTAAGCTCCGTTACTCGTTAGCACAGCGTCCTGCAGCTTATTGAACTCTACTGCGGGCAGTATGGAGGGCCTGTAGGTTCCTTTCTGAAGGCAGGTTCTTGTAGCCTGAGAAAGCTCATCTCTTTTCCTGTATGAGGGGTAACAGTTCCTCTGCACTGGCCTCGAACCAGTTGTTACAACCCTTGGTTCAAGATTGGCACTCTGCAAGGTACCAGGATCGTAGCGCCACTATTTTCCACATGAATTAGGGACCATTCACTTAAGTATTTTTAGTGATAGGCCCTGAATGTCTTGGATTTTGTGTGGGATTTTGGCCAGTTAAATTATAGAGTATTAATAGATAGGCTGGGTTTTTGAAGGAGTGAAATATCTAACAATCTAAAATTTCAAGAGGACTGAAACCTAAAATTGGAAAATGGCGGTCTCTGTTTCCCCTGCCAGACGCAGGAGCATCTTTATGCTCACAGAGTTGGTATCCTCTGTGATATTTTAATGTTAGTGTATTGTACAGCTCGGATATTAGTTATACTTAGAACTGATTAGTGGCAATTAAATATTTGTATTGGAGAATAAGTAATTGTTACTGTACGAACAACCGCTGGTGAGGGAGGTTCTTCTCTAACTGACAATGACACGGATCGGTCTTGGCTGTGTGATCCCCTCTCTTTTACCTCCTTCCTTCCACTCTCCTTATTTTTTTAAATAACAAGATAAACACACATCTAATTGTTACCATGCCACTAGTTGTTCTAAGTGCAAATTGTGTGTACTAACCTAATTGTACTCACCTAGTTGTGCTTGCGGGGGTTAAGCTCTGGCTCTTTGGTCCTGCCTCTCAACTGTCAATCAACTGGTGTACAGATTCCTGAGCCTACTCTCCTTTCTTTCTTGGCTTTCATTTGATTAGCATCTCATGCTGAATAATGTCACCTCATATTGTTTGGAACTGGCAGTGCTTCTGAGGCTTGCATTTAGGGTCAATACTACCTCAGCTGTTTTACAAGCTGTTTTACAAGCTGTCTTGCACCTTGTTTCACCTCAGTCCTGCTCATGAACCACCTGAGCATTGGTCTCTGAACCGTGTTCTTGTGTTTCTTTCTACTTCTCGTTTTACAGTGTTCCCTTCGGTCTACGATTCTTTCTGTAGGTCATCGTTTTTTGTTTCTCTTGCCTCCAGTTGTCAGGTTGGAGAGCTTCATGCTCTCCTTCAGAGGCAGCTTTTTTTCTTCTTTTGGTCCTGGTGGGTGTTTTGTTTGTTTGCAGCAAGCTGCTTTTCTGGTGAAGAACCTATCGTTTGGCTTCCGGTGGGTTCTTTTGGTTGATGCATTGATGCTTCATGAATTCGGTCAGGGGTGCAGCATGTGTTGTGTCCAGTGGCGGCTCCCTGTCGCTACTTTTGTGACACCGATTCTGCTTTGGTAGATGCCTGTTTCAGGCGCACTGAACACCAGGACAAGTGCTTATACTTTTTTGTTGATTCTTATCTGTTTTAGGTCCCTGATCTGATCCGAGCCTTCTGTTGCTGTGTCTAGGGCCAGATTCTGGCCTGGCTTGCCACAGGGCATGATGCAATTCCCCCAAGGTATAGCAGACACAGCATCATAGATAAAGTAAGCTAATGAGTGCCCACCAGAAAAATGCATTCATTACATTCAATACTTGACTTTTGCTTCAGGTCTTATTTGTCCATCTTGGGGTTTATCCTACATGATCTTGTGAAACAGCTTTCTATCATTATCTCAAGGTTTCTAGTAATAGACTATCTCCTTGTCTCTCTTCCAAAATCATTACACATTCTTTCAGGCACATGGGTAGTTTACAGTGGCTCACTGGGGTCTCTTGCGTCTTTTTGCTCTGTACCTTCAGCACTTTGTGTCGTCAACCAGGGTTTATACTAGTACCTCCCTAACACTAGTATTATACAATACAAAAAGATCCTTGCTATACAGAGGCAGAATTTCTTCCTTCCCTGACTAACATAAACCTGTACAATAGAACAACTTGCCTTAATGGTTATCCAGCTGAAATAGTCTAGAAAATAGCTTTCATTCATAATCACGTAATGCCTGATATTTTTAACATACTTTGAAATATCAGTTTTGTGTATATTAACACATAAGATATTGCAGCATTTATACATATAGCAGTCAGTCAGTCAGTCTACAGATTCATATCAGCATATCAGAATCATAAAGAGATATGATATACTTACCAGGTATCTGATGCTCAGCTTCTTTGATAAGAATAGCACATGTCAGGTTGGTCACGAACACAACCAGATTTGCCACTGCAACCCCTACTGTGTGCCCAGATATTGTTCTGAAAACAAATGCAAAAAATAAGCACTTCATCTCTGCACCTTTTTTAATTCATTTCTTGGTGATAAAAATACAAGATTTTTACTCATAAAAAAATGAATCTGGATAAAATGTATTTTTAAGTTAATATATTTGAGTGTGTGGAACGGATTAATTCAATTTACATTACATTTTTGGGAACGGATTAAATTAGTACACAGAGGTACCACTGTATATATAACCTGGTAGATCTGCATGCTATATGTATAGAACACAATACATAAACACACACGTCTGTCTTTACTTGCCTCCACCTTGTTGGTTGGTACCGCTCCTCAATACTTTCCACAATCTGTAATTTTTTTAAATGTTGATTATGCATATTTAACATTATGTATAGTCTTGCCTCACTATGTATAGTCTTGCTTCACTACATACAATGTATCATCTTGCCTCACCATATACATGCTATGTATAGTCTTGACTCACTATATACATATAATATTATGTATAATCTAGTCTCTCCATACTCATGTTTTTCTATGACAGTTCCACACCTCAGCCACTTTACTTGTCCTGATCATCTAAACCCACACAGTACTGTACCATACTCATCTATAACCAAATTAGTAATTTACTATAATCATTGTAACCAAACAATATTGTGCTATTACCATTATGACCAAACAGTACTGTACTATAATCATCTATATTTATTTATTTATTTATTTATATACAAGAAGGTACATTGGGATTGTGAGGATACATAGCATAGTAATTACATTCTTGTAAAGCCACTAGTACGCACAGCATTTCGGGCAGAATATCCAATCAGTACTATAATTATATATAACCAAGTAGTACTATACTATAATTAAATATAATTATACATTTGAGGGCTCCAGTGGTACAGTCAGGTTCATTCTCGACTGACAATCGAGAATTCCGGGTTTGAATCCCAGGTGGGAAAGAAATGATTGGGCACATTTCCTTTCACCTAATGCCTCTGTTCACCTATCAGTAAGTAGGTACTCAGGAGTTAGTCACCTTGTTGTGGGGCTGCATCCTGGCCGGGGTAAGTAATTCATCCTGGGGGAGGGGAGGGGGACCGCGATATAAGCTTAACATGTATGAATACACTCTGGCTTCCTGTCCCTCACCACAATGAATTATTATTCAAATGATTTATTATAACCAAACAGTATTATACTATAATTATATATAACTAAACTGTACTAAAGTACAGTATACTCTAATTATATACAGTATTACCAAACAGTACTATAAGAAGTGCTAGGTATATTAAGACTCTATTGCTAAACAAAGATAACACATAAACAGTTCATAAAATAATTATAAATGGTAAACACACATTCATGTCCAGTTATGTGAGGTATGTGATTATAACAGTAATATATAAAATAGAATAAATTTAGTTTTAAAGTCAATTTTGATCTATTGCAGATGAGCATATAATTATTATCCATTAGCCTGATACTGTATTACTTTAGAGGGGGGGTTATATATGCTTAATCATTTAAAGTATAAATGTAAAATTAAGAAGCGGTCATAAACTAGAGTACTGTACTGTTGTTGTTGTTTATGATTCGCTACTTGGAATAAAAAGTTCCAAGTAGCACGGGCTATGGTGAGCCCATAGACTGCCTTTAGTACTGTACCAATATTAACTTAAACTCCTGTAGAGTGAGGTATGACAGGTCTGGCTATCAAAAAATACTTTGATAGCAATGTACATATAACAACAATACTGTATTTTAAATGAAGGTGACGAAATGACCCAATACCTGTGCAAGTGTATAATTAAAATAAATTTTCTGGATGAACCTACGTTGTTTATCAAGGTGGTGTAAACAGTGTTGGTTCAATACAGTGTTTACACCCCTTCGATAAAGGATTTAGGTTATCTGAAAATTCAGTATAATAATATACACTACTTACACAAGTATTAGGTCTTTTCTTCACCTTCATTCAAACACAACAGTATTGTAGTAAACTTCTTAATATTTTAAACAATACAAATCACCGAATACTAATTTTTATATATATAATACAAGCACAAGGATGAGCTGGACATAGATGTAGAAGAAGAGTGCCAAGTAGAGCAGTGTAACCAACATAGATAGTGGTTCACGGATCACAAGCGCGCTCTCCATCTTTAGTATTTCCAGATGTCAGGCTACAAACACATTATCTGAGGGTCTCTCTTAAGGCATTATTATTTACTGATAAAATATTTCAATGATACTTTTCAATACATGAGGGCACATGAATTTTCCACTTAAAACATGTCAAAGTTTAAATTTGCTTATTTAACAAACTGAAATCTTTATGATATGTCTTCACTGTAACTATAAAATTCTATACAAGACATTCATTAAAATACAAACTAGTTTTAAAATGGAATAATTAAAGTCTAGTAAAGAAGAAAAACAAACCTGTGAAAAATAAGAAACCAGAAGGCAGAGGACACAGAATTGCAAGTACACAGGCAGAGAAAAGAGGATGAAGTACGCTGCAGTTCCCACGTGACGGGACAGCTCAGGAATGGTCTCATGAATGTTGTCATGCTCCATGTAACAATAGTAGGAGAAGAGTGTCACACGTATCCCAGCCCACATCGCACATGTGTACAAGAGAAACGTTCGATAGCACCTGGGAAGACGAGATAACGAAAGTGAAATTATTCAGATACATGTTATGCACTAAATACATACAGTGGAACCTTGGCTGCCGAATGTCACTCATTACAAATTTTTCTGGTTACGAGCTCAATTACTTCATAAAATTTGAATCGGTTATATGAGCTTTGCCTAGCTTTGCGAGTTTGTAGATACACACATGGGTCGACCGAGTGCGTGGTTCTTGGTGGCATGGGCGGCCGCACTTCAGTTTACGAGTGCCTCCCGTCTAGTGATGATCACGCTTGAAATCTTTGTAAAGAATTTCATTGTTTTTCAGCTTTTTTGGTTTCTAAACATAAAAGTAATTATTATATACCATGCCATGGGTCCCAAGAAAGTCAGTGGTAAGGTTCAACCTAAGAAAACACATGTGAGGATGACCATAGAGGAAAATCAAGTCTCTATGGAAAGGTTCTTTGTGAGACAAACAAGCAGTTAGCCACAAGCAGGTCCTAGTGGTATGCAAGCAAAACGTAGGAGAGTGTACCCCAGAGAAGTCATCACTGCCTGATGTTATAATGGAAGGGGACTTCCCTTCCAAACACTAGCACCCCTCCTTCTCTTCACCCCCCCCCCCCCTCCTCACCGTCTTCCATATGCCAACAAGAGTCATCAATAAAGGTAAGCTATAACTTGTACATACTATAGTACAAAATATTTGTGTGTATTATGAATTAAATGCATTTTGAAGTTTTTATTTTTGAGAGTGTGGAAGGGATTAATTCAATTTACATTAATTCTTATGGGAAAATTCATTTCAGTTTGCGAATTTTTGGTTTACGAGCCATCTCTGGAAATGGATTAAATTCGAAAACCAAGGTGCCACTGTAGTTAAATATAGTTGCAACTACAGCTAATTGAGATAATCATTGCATTCAACACTAATCAGTCTTGCACTACTTTAGCAAACTAACTCTCTTAATCTGTACCTTACTTCTAACTCTCTAAAAAATGTTATCATACATCACAGCTGTATACAAAGAAAATATGAATAAAACATAGTGAAAAAATTCCTGAAACAATGTATGCATACCATCGTTTGTGACCATATACAAGCACAAGGATGAGCTGAACATAGATGTAGAAGAAGAGTGCCAAGTAGAGCAGTGTAACCGACATAGTTAGCGGTTCACGGATCACAAGCGAGCTCTCCATCTTTAGTATTTCCAGATGTCAGATTACAAACACATTATCTGAAGGTCTCTCTTATGGCATAATGCCGACACCACAAGCCTGAGTAAAGAAGATACCACAAAGCAGTCATAATAACAGTTATTTCACCTGAAATTATTAAATATAATTATATATGATTAAATGACCAGGTTACTTTCTAAGATCATCCTAGTAAAGACATACAATATTAGGTTATCCATGATTACTTACAGGAAATCTGTAAACTATGCAAAAATATATTACTTTTGAATTTTAAATATTTTATAAAATACATTAACATCTTGTATTCTGAATAACAAAGTTATTACCTGGAAATTTACAAATATTAAATACTGAATATTAATTAGCAAATTATCTTCAAACAAAATCACTTTTATTATGGTACAGTATAAGAAAAGAACTTTGGTGCTTCCAAGTCATATTAAACTAAGAAGCTGCTGCAGTGCTATAACATCATGCAGATATTTTTAACAAAATAATTTTTGCAAAATCTGTGTAAGTGGGGAAGATATGGAAGCCACTGAGGCAGTGGAAAGTAGAGCCCAATGAGTATATGCAAGTGTAGGTAGAAACCGCTGGAGTACTGGGAGTATTATACAGAAAGTGCTGAAGAATGAATGGTACAGTTTGCTTTAAAATTACAAATGAAAGATATAAACCAGAGGTACTAGCAGTAGAAGGTACACCTTATTTATTTATGTAAACAAGAATTCATGAATTCTGGTATAGCCACTGGCAAGCATAGCGTTTCGGGCAAGTCATTAATCATAATATTCCCCGGAATACGACCCGCCAAATCGTTTAACAACCAGGTACCCATTTTACTGTTGGGTGAACTGAGGCTACAGTTAAAGATTGGCGCCCAGTCAATACCAGCCCAGTATACAAACCCAGGCCAAAGCACTCGCGAAACGCCAGGCGAGTGTCTTACCACTACCCCACAGGAACTGCAGGTAGATGCCGTGCTCTATAAAACCAATGCTGAGGGTGCTGTAGCACTGTGAACAGGAAGTAGCGAGTAATAAAGCACTTCAGTGGGGCAGACCTCAGGTACAGACCTTGCGAGCGACAGTCCTCGTCTTAGTGACACTTGCAGTTTGCTTCAGGTTGCCCTCAACGCCTTGTTTACCATCGATGTTCACTTCTCACCCAGCTGGTGGCGACGACACCGTCGTCGGCGACTCCCGCCCCTCTTGTCGTACTGCATGACTTACCAGGACACCGTCGTACACTCCCGCCCATCTTGTCGTACTGCATGACTTACCAGGACACCGTCGTACACTCCCGCCCATCTTGTCGTACTGCATGACTTACCAGGACACCGTCGTACACTCCCGCCCATCTTGTCGTACTGCATGACTTACCAGGACACCGTCGTACACTCCCGCCCATCTTGTCGTACTGCATGACTTACCAGGACACCGTCGTACACTCCCGCCCATCTTGTCGTACTGCATGACTTACCAGGACACCGTCGTACACTCCCGCCCATCTTGTCGTACTGCATGACTTACCAGGACACCGTCGTACACTCCCGCCCCTCTTGTCGTACTGCATGACTTACCAGGACACCGTCGTACACTCCCGCCCATCTTGTCGTACTGCATGACTTACCAGGACACCGTCGTACACTCCCGCCCCTCTTGTCGTACTGCATGACTTACCAGGACACCGTCGTACACTCCCGCCCCTCTTGTCGTACTGCATGACTCACCAGGACACCGCCGTACACCCCCGCCCCTCTTGTCGTACTGCATGACTCACCAGGACACCGCCGTACACCCCGCCCCTCTTGTCGTACTGCATGACTCACCAGGACACCGTCGTACACTCCCGCCCCTCTTGTCGTACTGCATGACTCACCAGGACACCGTCGTACACTCCCGCCCCTCTTGTCGTACTGCATGACTCACCAGGACACCGTCGTACACTCCCGCCCCTCTTGTCGTACTGCATGACTCACCAGGACACCGCCGTACACCCCCGCCCCTCTTGTCGTACTGCATGACTCACCAGGACACCGCCGTACACCCCCGCCCCTCTTGTCGTACTGCATGACTCACCAGGACACCGTCGTACACTCCCGCCCATCTGGTCGTACTGCATGACTCACCAGGACACCGTCGTACACTCCCGCCCATCTGGTCGTACTGCATGACTTACCAGGACACCGTCGTACACTCCCCTATATGCCAATTACTGAAAACGGCGATGGGTCATATCTTGCCCAAACCCCCCTGCAGTTTTAAAAATATCTGAAATGTCGGAAATTTGACTCCTGAGCGTGATTTTTGAGCCGAATTCTGACTCTCTGCACCTATTTTCATTTTCAAACTACAACTTTTTATACCGAAAATATGCCAATTACTGAAAACAGCGAAGGGTCATATTTTGCCCAAACCCCCCTGCAGTTTTCAAAATATCTGAAATGTCCGAAATTTGACTCCTGAGCGTGATTTTTGAGCCGAATTCTGACTCTCTGCACCTATTTTCATTTTCAAATTACGACTTTTTACACCGAAAATATGCCAATTACTGAAAACGGCGATGGGTCATATTTTGCCCAAACCCCCCTGCAGTTTTCAAAATATCTGAAATGTCGGAAATTTGACTCCTGAGTGTGATTTTTGACCCGAATTCTCACTTTCTGCACCTATTTTCATTTTCAAATTACGACTTTTTATACCGAAAATATGCCAATTACTGAAAACGGCGATGGGTCATATTTTGCCCAAATCCCCCTGCAGTTTTCAAAATATCTGAAATGTCGGAAATTTGAATCGTGAGCGTGGTTTTTGAGCCGAATTCTGACTCTTTGCACCTATTTTCATTTTCAAATTACGACTTTTTATACCGAAAATATGCCAATTACTGAAAACGGCGATGGGTCATATTTTGCCCAAACCCCCCTGCAGTTTTCAAAATATCTGAAATGTTGGAAACTTGACTCCTGAGTGTGATTTTTGAGCCGAATTCTGACTCTCTGCACCTATTTTCATTTTCAAATTACGAATTTTTATACCGAAAATATGTCAATTACTGAAAACAGCGATGGGTCATATGTTGCCCAAACCCCCCCCCCCCCCTGCAGTTTTCAAAGTATCTGAAATGTCGGAAATTTGACTCCTGAGTGTGATTTTTGAGCCGAATTCTGACTCTTTGCACCTATTTTCATTTTCAAATTACAACTTTTTATACCGAAAATATGCCAATTACTGAAAACGGCGAAGGGTCATATTTTGCCCAAACCCCCCTGCAGTTTTCAAAATATCTGAAATGTTGGAAATTTGACTCCTGAGCGTGATTTTTGAGCCGAATTCTGACTCTCTGCACCTATTTTCATTTCAGAAAAATAGGTGCAGAGAGGTGGCCGCTCGGTCACCCGAAAACGTCTAATTCACCTCGAGAAAGTTGAAGTCAGTCCAGTCCATTTCATGGAGGGCGTGAAAGTAATAATTATTAAGTAAAACTAAATCTTAGAAGTTTACTTACAGTGTTCAGAAGTGAAAACAAAAAATATATAGCAAAAATAATAGGGGTGATAGGAGAGGAACCCTGAGTGAAGTAACCCCATGAGTGAGAAAGCATCTCCTGTTTTCAGTCCCACATTGTGGCTTGTTGAGCTTGAAACCGTTGCTCCTTGTTTGTTACACCTGACCATTAGAAGAAGTGGTGTGGATCAATATCCTCCTAATTGTTCAGTGTTTAATAGTTTTGATGAGATCAGCCTTGTCATGTCTGGTTTGCAGTGTTGCTAGCCCTGTGGCCCTCAACCGTTCCGGGTATGAGAGTCGACTTAGTTCTGAGAGGATTTGTGTGACTTCACACACACACACACGCTCTCATCCTGTCACTACACTTAGGAAGTTAATAGTCACGTACGTTAGACGTATCAAGGTCTATAGCGTCGGACTGGTGACCCTCCCCTGGATGCAACCCCGCAACAATTGACTAACTCTCGGGTGCCTATGTACTGCTAGGGAAACAGATGCATTAGGTGATAGGGAACGAATTATCATTTACGGCTTCGTCGGGAAGATGGTTCCATGGTTTCCATGAATTTACTCGAGGGTGGCCCTCGGGCAAATTCAGGTATCTCTCTCTAGTGGTCTCGACGAGGACAAGAAGGTTGTCTGGCTTGTCGAAGGCCCCTCCCATTTGTTTTGGGGATTTTATCGAGTAATGTTTTGGCATTTACGACTTCGGCGGGTAAGCGTTTCCACAACTTTATAATTCTATGGGTGAAAACAAATCTTTTCTATCCTTCAGTGTGACTTGTTGAGCTCGAAACCGTTGCTCCTTGTTCGTCTTACATCTAGCCTTTTGAAGAAGTGTTCTTGATTAATATCTTCCAAATTGTTCAGTAATTTAAAAGTTTTGCTGAGAGCAGTCTGGTCCCTGTGGCCCTCAACCGTTCTTGGCACAGGAGCGGGGCTGTAACTGCTTATTTGTGATTGATTGATGAAGATTAAGCCACCCAAGTGGTGGCACGGGCATGAATAGCCTGAAAGTGGAAGATTTTTTTCGAGTGAATGTGATCTTTGTGGTCGTGAAAGGATATACTGCGTGCTGTGCTCGCATTTCAATCGTCAGTCTGTGGCTGCTATCGCGGGGTGCTTGTTTGTGTTGCATCTGATCCTAAATAATCATAATTGAGTTTCTTAACATTAATAGCCCAAATTAGCACATCTTTCTTTTAAATTAGCCCAAAAAGTAGCAAGTAGCGAAATTACAAATTTGGGAGCGCGGAGCTCTCAAAAGTAGCCCAATCTGGCAACACTGACATCGAGTTTAGACACTGAAAAAATGCGTGTAGTCCCAGGTTTGGGTGCGGGGTGTAGTCCCAAGTTTGGGTGCGGGGTGTAGTCCCAAGTTTGGGTGCGGGGTGTAGTCCCAAGTTGGGTGGGCGTGTAGTCCCAAGTTTAGTGGGCGTGTAGTCCCAAGTTTGGTGGGCGTGTAGTCCCAAGTTACGCGGGGGGGGGGGCGGTTAGTCCCAGGTTTGGTGGGCGTGTAGTCCCAAGTTACGCGGGGGGGGGGGGGTTAGTCCCAAGTTGGACGCAGGGTGTAGTTCCAAGTTTGGGCGCGGGGTGTAGTCCCCAAGTTTGGCGCAAGGTGTAGTTAGTCCCAAGTTGGGCTCAGGGTGTAGTCCCAAGTTGGGTGCGGGCTCAGGGTGACGGGGAGCATGTAAACAGGAGTCAGCAGGTGCGGCAGCGGTGGCCGGCGTCGTGTCCTCTCCTCCCTCATAGTATTCAGGTAGGGCTTCCAACATTATTTTCAGTTTTCCCCATAATAAAGGTAATATATTTGGTAAGGACGGTCAGTACAAGATAGAGTACTGGGTGTGGACTGGTCAGGGTCACGACAGGTGGGGAGGACTCCAGGACACACTAGTTGGCCTTTAGTGAACCTTTAATGTGTATTTCCAGGGTGATGGCGTCGTATTTTGATGAGCACAACTGTAGGCCTCTGGGGCCAGGCCAGACTCCAGACCACTTCTTGCACTTCGCTCGACTCATGCTTCATGGGGGCTACTGGCAGGTCAGACTCATCATCTTTATTATCAAGGGTTTTATCTCCAGTGAAGACAAGGGTCATAGTGGTCACACTGCCCATTGTGTGACTGAACATATTTCAGGTGAGCAAACATGCTGCTAGAGGCATATACAGTACTGTATGTACACATCACAGCAATGGGCATCTTGGAGTCTCATCAGGTCTTGAACAGTAGGAAACCAGAGAATTTTGACTTAAAGTGTTTCAAGTTACTGTGACACTACTATTCGGATACTGACCTCTTTTCTTAAACTCCAACTGATTTCATAAGTAATATTTGAAAGTAAAAGTAAGTTTTGGCCATTTTAAATTGCATTATTCTTCAGATTCATTTCTTTGAGTACAGTACTGAATTCACTACAAAATACTAGTGATCAAGTAATACACCCGCCAAAACGCTACGCGTACTAGTGGCTGTACAAGAATGTAACAATTCTTGTATATACAAATAAATAAAAAAATTTAGCCAGAGTGAGAGCAACATTCCCACTCTTGCAGTCAGAGATAGCACGAAATATGATCATGCTATCTGATGCATCACACCACAGTATTGTGATTTCTGTTTATAGTATACTGTAGTTGGAAAAAATTCTTGGGAAAAATTATGGGACTCTTTGACTAGCTGCCAGCTTCCTGTCCCTGTCATGGTCACTAAATAGATGGCGGTCTTCAGGTAAATTGTTTTAAATGAGTGTTTCACTTGTTTTAATTCTCACATTTTTGTTTCTTAAGGATTTGCAGTTGGAGTTTACACAACTTTTTGGATATGGAGAGCGACCACCACCTCCAGCCTCAAAAGAATTTATTGAGAATATGACAACTGTGATTGCTACAAAACAAGGCGAGTAGTGTATAGGTGGAGTTCTTTGGAGTGACAGTAATGCAGTTTTGCATTACTGTATTTATAATTTAGTACAAATTTCTTGGTAAGAAAAAAGCAGGTAGATAACTAGATATTAATGATACTTTGTGGTCATATTGAGTATTAAACAACCAACATAAAGAGGCTGTGTAATGGTTTAGTATTTTATAAAACAAGCTTTTATTTTATATCACTGCTTACAAAAAAAAAGTTTAGCTAAATTCATACTTATGACATGCCTTTTTGCTTATGAAGTGTTGTACTTGGCAGTGAAGGCTGTTGATTAGTTACAAGAGTTGTGTATGAAGATCATTAACTATTATTATTCATGTCAGCAGCTGGCCAGTGCCCTGTGTGCCTCAAGGAATGGACAGAAGGAGAGGAAATGAAAGAACTGCCTTGCAAACACATGTTCCATTCATCATGTATCTTACCATGGCTAAAGAAGGTAGGAGAAAATTACTTATGAAGTCGATTATAGTAATTGGTGAGATTAAATATATTATGCAGTGCAACTTAAAAAATCCATACCATTGATTGTTTACCATACAAATTATTACAAATTATTTGTATTACCATACAAATTGTTTCCAGAGCCATTTCAAATTTAAAATATTTTGCAGTTTTCTTTTTTATTCTGGGAGGGCTCTGCAGTGGCTCCCTGTTGTTAACTACATGGATAACTTCCCATGCATCAAATTATGTCAGGTCCTTGTGAGTCAGGTCAAAACCAGGTCCTGTCACAAAGACCAGAGGATACTAGATTACTCTGACCAAGAACATAGCCATCAAAAGATAGAGCATCACAAACTAGACAACAGCAAGGTGAAAGTTAACAAAACAATAAACACAACTCGGTAATTAGGTAGTTCAATTTTGCACCAACCCATCTCGGTCCACTATATACTGTATACAGTACTGTATATAAATCAGTCAAAAAGTAAACGTGCACCCACTAGTGTCATGCTGTGACTCGCTGCCCCACTCAGCAGTACAGGTGAATCTCACTTTTAGTTATGTGGGTCTTTATGGGAGTGGTGTTGCTGGGAAGATGACAAGTGTTGAGAGCAGCAGCTTTCACAGGTCCTCAGTGACACAGTCACATATAATCAGACCTCTTCACTCTTCAAAAACAACCAACTTTTACAAGCAGGATAACGCTTCCCTTCAGATAAGAAATATGTTATGTTTCTTGTACCATTTGTCCCAAAAATATTGGTTTTATATGATGCATTCCTAGGCCACCAAAAATCATCCCCCCATTTATAGCATTGTTTTTGTGGGAAATTTGGTTCCACATTCCGCAAAAAGGCTTTACAGCTGGCTTTTCAGATTGCAACCCATTCGTAAATGGGGGACTGCCTGCATTAAGAATGCTGGATCAGTCTGTATTTTAAGTACTGTACTGTACACATTTAAAAAATTTGAGACCCCCTTCCTGGATTTTCAAATAATGTTTTCTGATAGCCAAAGCATTCTATATTTTTCAAGTTTCTATTATTACTGTTATCATATCTAACTATGCACAAAAAAAAAAAAGCCAACAAATAATTTTTTGTCATTGCATTATTAACTTGTATGCAGAATGTAAGAAAAATATGAAAATAAGTAAATATTTATAATTTTACTGGGTGGAGGTGCTCTACAAAGCTGTGTCTGGCACTTGTCAACTCCTGGTGCTCCACTTTGCTGACGCTTCATGTTTTATCCTCTAATGTTTCACATGTTTTATCACTTGTTTTTCTTGATTTACATCTACAGAGCTTTTTTATCTATATTTGCATCATCCATGTAAAATCCAGACAATAATTTTTTAAATCATCATATGATGACCGCATTCCTCTAGTAACATTCATGACGATAACCTCATTTGTACCATGAAATGGTAGCAGGATTTTTTCATGAGTCACGGTAAATGCCATTACATCCATATACGCCTATTATACCATACTGTATTTGCATCATACATGAAAAACCCAAACAATAATTTTTTAAATCTTCACATGATAACCGTATTACCCTATGAATCAACAATTGACGTTAACTTCTGTCTAAGGTGGTTAAAAGACTTTGGTTGCATTATCTGCTATGTGGAGTGAGGAAGGAAAGTATGTGGGAAGGAAAGGAGGGAGAAATTTTTACATTCTTACATTCTAGTCAGAAAAACTTTTTGTCTTCAAGTCTTGTCTACTGTATATTTTGTTTTTAGATTTGTCATATAGAGCACTACTAGTATATATATAAATTGTGAATCATAAATTCAGTACAGTTGTTTACTGATATATTCAACAATATTTTCAGACTAATTCTTGTCCTATGTGCCGTCATGAGCTGCCTACTGATGACCAGGACTATGAGGAGTATAGAAAGCAGAAGGTGAGTAACACAGGTTTTTACACCAATGAAGTGCCAAATGTTTGCGCAATTCTGCACATACATTATCCCATCATTTAGTTGGGGAGCATGCATTCTCCTAAGCAAGCTAGATGACTGTACTCTAGTCATAAAGCATCAAATTTACAAGAAAAATAGTGCATTGAAGACAAAGCATTAGAGGTAGAATTCCTGGACAACACAGAGTGCATGGGGGGATTGTATGAAACCCTGGTTTGGCTTCAGAGGAAACCTCAGGAGCACTAGAGGATTCAGTCGAGTCCCAGGTTGCAATCCTTTTTACCATGTCGTGGCCTAGTCGTCTAAGGCATTTGCTCGAGAGTACCCAGAGCATAGGTTCAAATCCTCGTTACAGCTCTTGATTTTCTTAGATACATTATGTTAATGTCGTTTCTCTGTACATTAAAAATAAGTTTTATTAGTAGAAAGCCACAAAAGTTGTATGTACAACAGTGTAAATGAGAGGCTTGTTTAATCTGGGTAGATAAAATATTGCCAGATATCTCTCAGTATTACCTACGTGTAACACTACAATATATGGGAATACTAGTCATTGTACATCTCTTCCAAACCAGCTTTTTCTCTCTCCACAGAAAAGAGCAAAGGATCGTGAAGCAGAAATTGAGACACTCCATAATTCAATGTTTTCCTAATAAGGCATCTTCAGCTGTCATAAACACATTTCAGACAGCATTGCTCATGTTGGATCTACCGTCAAGATGAGGAGCCAACCTTGTGTGAAGCAATGTTTTGAAAAGTAAATCTTCAAATATTACATATTGCATTCCAAAAACTGCCTACCCATGGATTACTTGGAACTGTGAACTAAGAATGGAAAACTTAACCTTTCAAACCATATGTACTCCATTGTGATAGTTATGAATAAAATTAATTATTAACTTTTTTGTCACTGCAAATACAGCAATTAATTATCCTTGTTAGGGGGGAATGTTTTACAGCAATACCACAGCACACTAAGAATGAACATTCATAACTATATATTAACACTTTGGCATTCCATTCCATTCCATTCTAAAATTTCTGATATTTTTTAAGCAGTGCTTGTGGTAAAAAAACTGATGATCTCGTGAGAATTTTCATTATAGTGTACCTGGCAAACTACCTGTAGAGCAGATGTTTATTCCACTTAGTGGGCGTTGGTTATTCTTGTGTGACCAATACATATAGATGGGCTAGTGACGTTCCCATTTTCTACTGAATTATACATGGAAGATTATGTTAAAGTAATTTGATTCTCACTTTATAATGCTTGGTAGCCAGAGATCTCTGTTTCCAATGATTATACATAACAGTATCAGTTGAGTATAGGGTGTTTTTTGGGGGGTTGTGGGACATGTTTGAATTATTAATTTAGCAAAAGTATATAGTATACAGAAGTTGTTTGGCAGAGTTGCTCGGCTTTGTGGCATGGCTTAGAATCGTGCAAGTAGAGCACAGTACTGTACTGTAATTAAAGCAAGAAACTGGAATTTCTATAGTGTTTAGCACAAAACATACAGCAGGGAGTAGGGAGCCGGTCGGCCAAGCGGACAGCACGCTGGACTTGTGATCCTGGGTTCGATCCCAGGCGCCGGCGAGAAACAATGGGCAGTTTCTTTCACCCTATACCCCTGTTACCTAGCAGTAAGATAGGTACCTGGGTGTTAGTCAGCTGTCACGGGCTGCTTCCTGGGGTTGGAGGCCTGGTCAAGGACCGGGCCGCGGGGACACTAAAAAGCCCCAAAATCATCTCAAGATAACCTATAACCTCAAGATAACCTAACATGAAAAAATTAGTGTAGTGAAAATTATGTCACTGCCCTTATTGTGGATACCTAAATATAGTATAGCTTTCCAAGAGGCAACTAAAACAAATACCGTTTGTCTAAATTTTACAGCAAAAAAGCAAATATACAGTAACCAGTTTTGTACACAAGTATTAATATATTTATATACTACAAATTATATGACTAGACTCAAATTTACAATAGAAAGTAAATATCCAGTATTTGTACCATTCTCTAAGCAGCTAATACTATAATACTTCTCATTTTAAAATGCTTACACAACACACTAACTTTCACTCAATTTACCCTCGTACACCTGAAATTCTTAATACATTTTATTAAAATATGCTTAGCCATTAATAATATGAACTTAAATTTAATTCTTGTATTATCTTTACAAGCCAAAATAATATACAGTACAAGTTAATAACACGACTCATCACGACCCTATTTCTCACTCTCATGGCTGGGTTACCAACTGGCTTATAGTGGGTAAACACTGAAAGTTCAAGGAAGGAAAGTGGGTTTAGGATGCTGCCATGTGTTCACCAAGTGCCTCCTTATGTCCATGAAGTTAGGAGATGTGATGATAATAACAATCACAGTGCATAACACAATTTTGTGTAACATTTTTATTTAACGAAATAGTTTACATATTTACAATTCTGTTTTAAACATTAGGTCTATCCAAATGTTCTCAAACAGCAAGCAGAATTTTCTCAATCCTCTTGTGTTAAAATTAATTAATTAAATATATATATATATATATATATATATATATATATATATATATATATATATTTATATATTTATAAAAAGAGCCATATATATATATATATATATATATATATATATATATATATGTCGTACCTAGTAGCCAGAACGCACTTCTCAGCCTACTATTCAAGGCCCGATTTGCCTAATAAGCCAAGTTTTCATGAATTAATTGTTTTTCGGCAACCTAACCTACCTAACCTAACCTAACCTAACTTTTTCCGCTACCTAACCTAACCTAACCTATAAAGATAGGTTAGGTTAGGTTAGGTAGGGTTGGTTAGGTTCGGTCATATATCTACGTTAATTTTAACTCTAATAAAAAAAAATTGACCTCATACATAATGAAATGGGTAGCTTTATCATTTCATAAGAAAAAAATTAGAGAAAATATATTATTTCAGGAAAACTTGGCTTATTAGGCAAATCGGGCCTTGAATAGTAGGCCGAAAAGTGCGTTCTGGCTACTAGGTACGACATATATATATATATATATATATATATATATATATATATATATATATATATATATATATATATGGCTCTTTTTATAAATGACAACCAAAGAGAACTGTTTAGAATATTGGTTTTGAATTCTACATGATACTTCAGCCAACTAAGTTTTGTTGTGAAATAGTATGAATGTGTGTATGCTATGTTTGGAATACTGCAAGAGTTATTCCAGAAAAAGAACAGAAGAATGATAAAGACAATAAAAATAAAACATGAAACACTGTACGACAACAGTTAATTTGTGAACAGTATCTGTGTTGGATGACAAGTTTGACGAATGCTTCAGTGTTACTGTTGCATGTGTAGAGCACCACAATGTTGTCAGTTAACACAACACCAGAAGTAAAACACTAAAACTCCACATTGACTGTATAAAGACATCTTGCAATAGTTGCAGTGGCTCTCAACAACCTCTTCACCTAAAATTGTAACTATGACAATCTGCACCTTCCTATGCAAACCTGATGAAAAAAAATACTTCATCTTTTATCCATCAATGTGAATTTCTACTGCATTTGACTCACAGTAATATCACATTTATCCAATCAGAAATCTAATGTCAGATTTCTTAATCTTGTACAAATTTTTCATGCACATTAAATTATTGACAACTATCATACAGTACAGTTCAGAAAGTTCTACTTGGAAGTAGATTACATTCTCGCAATCAGCAACTCTGTACTTCATCTAAAAGCATAATTTAATTATATTTTATATCTCCAACGTCTGTTTTACCTTTACTTCACTTTTTTAATTCCATTAAGGTACAGTATGTGAAAAACAAAGTGATTTTAAATTTAAATTATTTGTAAGTTTCTGCATGAAAGATGACCACAGTTTATGCAAGATCTAGATATCTAATTTCAGTTGGTGTTGGAAAGCTTCCTCCTGTCATCAATTGCACTAATTATCACATAATTGAACCACAACTATCATGGGTTACAGAAAGTAACAACCAAATACTGTATATATAATGTTATGAGAAGAAATATATGCTTTTATGAACACTGGTGATATCAAATTCTCCTTTGGGAGGTACCTGGGCCACAATGGTGTTGAGCTTCATCTTGGAGGAGTCCAGAGCTGACCCATCATGGGAAAAGTCACTGTAAAACATGTACAAATTTACATACAGCATCTTAAGATATCGTGGTAGGACAGTACAGGAACTTATGAGAAACCTCACTATATGACATTTGGTAAATCATGCTAGTAAAATTTACTTGCTTATTAAATACATGACACCTCCAAAATGCTGATTTATATCATTACAGATTTGCCTGAATTTCAGATTCCTGTACTTTCCTTCAAATACTGTACGGTAATACATCAGAAGAAAACTCGGTGAAAATGCTCGAGTAACAAGGAGGGTCAGAACACACTAACACAGGAGAGAGAGAGACGGTCTGTATACATCCCCTAACAAAGACCTAGATGCCACTGTAAAAATGTCTTAAAGAAATTCATTTGTACAAACTTACTAAAATGTTGCTAAATCATAAATGCATATTACAGTACTGTATTATTAATATTTTGATTAATATTTATGCAAAATTAGCAAGAAAAAGTATGAGAGTTGATGAAAATTACTTTGTGATGTACTAATGATCCAGAATTCATTGTCACCCCCTCTGTAAGCTGGATTTAGTTTTCTTACAAATCTGAATTTCTGATGGAAAATCCAGTGGGCAAATTTGATCAATTGTATGATCCATTATAGGAGGGTTTAGATTTTGGAGGGTGTATTGTAGTTCATTACAAAAGCTAAGTAGGTAACTGCCAAATGATGGCTTAGTAAGTACAGTACATAATGAATAAGTCCACATAAGAGTAACCAGTTGAATATAAGCCAAGGTTTCCACTGACAAAATCCCTTACCTGTGAGACAAGCCAAATGTCTTCTGTAGGAACTTGGAGAGGTCCTCAAGAATGGGCTCTTGATGCAGGGCAACGAACTGCTCACGGCATATCTGATACAAAAATATTTTCCTTTTCAAATAAGGTACTGGCATAAAGCAAAAGCATTTTCAATTTACCATTTAAAATTAATATTATGTAGTTTTTGTGTTTCTTCCAATTCAATTCATATTACACAGACTCAACATTTATTACACACAGGGTGACCAAAATCAGATAGGAGGGGACAAGAAAAGTGGACTACATCTTTTTTGACTGCTAAAAGTTGTCTGATACTTTAACCCTCAAGAGACTGATACATAAAAGGGAGAAACAAATGAGGTAAGTTTCTAAACTAGTTATAAAGGTACATGATGGGTAGAATACAGTCATTGTGAAAGCTGAAAGTGAAGTGTTGTACTCATATTAATCATTACCGAGTCTTCTTTTGTTCCCGATACAGTATTATGTGAATGACCTGCCCAAGTAGATTAATTAATATCATCTGCAGATGGTGCTAAGCTGAAAAAGAAAGCAAGGATAATAGATAACTGCAAAGTACTGCAGGAGGACCTAAACAGACTACAGACTATTGGAGATTAATATCTATTGGAGACTATTGGAGACCATCAAATATAAAGGTATGAGAATGGGGAAGGACAATAGATAATTAGAAGAACAATAGACTTGGGGAAAAGAAAGCCATCACCCCTGAACATCTTCTAAGATAATGGAAAAGGTGGAAACTGGAGAAGCAGGTGAGCTATAGGGTTGTATGAAAGAACTCATTTAGTGTACATGAAGTAATACAACTCCATCATTCATGGCTGCAATGGATTTAAAAGAAGTAATTGAAATATAAACAAATTACAATTTCATGAGAAATAATGTTGCAAATAAAGAGGAATGGATATGATAGGTATCCACGTGATGGTGTCACAATAAGTAAATGTACACAAGTTAATGGAGAACAGAGAAAATATTAAAAGTCAATGCAAACATTTAGCTTGTCAGCCTTGTTGAAGCTTGGTACAGTACATTCATAAACTTAATGGAGAATACCTAGCAGAGTTCACATTCATAAAATTATAGTGACACTGCAATAAGAAATGAATTGGTAGATGTGTACCTTACTCATGATGTCAACTGTGGAGGCATGGGTCCAGAAGCAGTCGTGCACCGAGACAAAAGTGATGCCTGCTTGTTGGCAGTACAGAGATGTTAGCATCATATGTGACGAGTCCAGTGAATGGATGAAGTTTGGTGGGAATGCATTCTTCTGCTTCATCACATTGGGCTTCCTATAACAAATTAAAATATCAAATAGACAGTCAGACACGGTTTGACTGCTCAAGGATGCCACAAGGAAACCTAATTTTTATTATTTTTTATTAGGTTTTATCAACTCATTACATCACTCAGTGCTCACTACAACACACTGTACTGAATAACATTACCCTCTACTCATCACTTTCGTGTACAGATGATCCCAATTTACCAATGCAAAGCATTTATAAGCTCATAATTCTTATTTATGAGCTTATAAATGCTTTCCATTGGTAAATTTGGATCATCTGTACAGGAAAGTGATGAGTACAGGGTAATGTTATTCAGTAGTGTGTTGTAGTGAGCACTGGGAGATGGAATGAGTTCAGGATGGCTTGCTTAAATATAAGTAGGGAAGTGAGAACTAGCTCCTTATGGCCTACGTCCTAGTTTCTTCTTACCTAGCCTGTATTTTACACCTCTTCACATTCAAATTTGGTGTTGAATTTGTTCTTGAAAGATGTGGATTGTAGAGACCTCAAGTTAATAGGCTGAGGCATTCACAAATGTTGAAAGGAAACATCCCAGAAGAAAATGAAAATTTAACATGACAAAACCATAAGTGAAACCTATTTTCCCACATAATTAAAAGTAAAGCAAGGGGAGCAGTTCGTTTGCTTACATGTAGCTGTCCATGGAAAATGATGTTGCCAGTTTTGTCACTGATGCCGTGTCAGTTCGTAATTTGCTATACGGCTGTACCACCGGAAGACCCAAGGGTGTTACATACTCAAGGTTCTCCCCACGAGTCTGAAAGGTTAGAGAAGTTCATCACAAGTCAAACTAATGCTAGGTGTAGCTCAAAGATTAATGAACAGTATTACATTGATTAAAATCCTTCTCCATGCACACCCTACTCACGTCCTATTCCTAACTAAACATTCAAAGCACACTCATGATAATGAAGATGATAGTCTTGCCTGTCTATTCCATGCTGATATCCAGGAAAAATAAGGGAACAGTTTAAAGGGTCACTAACACTGTCTCAGGAGGGGTTTAACTGTATTTTACTTTGCCACGGGCAAAAACAAAAACCCTGAAAGAAATACAGACAGCAGAGTACCAAGACAAACATATAAGCACTAAGGAGGGCTACAAATGAGCATTCTAAATTCAGGAATGAAGCATGGAGGGAATCTGAAAATGATATGGTTTATATTTGATGGGACTGAACTTGATCTATTTATCTGACCAAACTTGTAGTTTATTTAGACTACTTTAGCTGAATAATTAACTATAGTCCTCACTAGTACCAGTATGACCCTTGAGGATTGCTTGAAAAATTTCCAGTGGTGCCATTACCTCAAATGTTGCCCAACCTGATTTCACACTTCCACACTGACTGTGGAATTTTTGCTTTAACAGCAGTCATCAGAAATAATTCAGAAATAACTATCCACCAATATATTCTGCAACACACCCACTCCAAGTACCTCAAACATATACATGAACATCTAACTAATGTACCTCAGTCACTAATCTTGCACAATCAGTAAACCAGTTCTGGATATCCTTGGTCGCTGTAAACATCTTCTCAAGGCAGAGGAAAACTTTCTGAACGAGGTAATGAGAGGCAGCCCAGCGGAGCTGTTGGGGAAACTCGTCTAGATCTGCAGGAGTAATATAACAAATAATGTTTACTGTGTTATAGTAGAGTGGGAAAATCATTAGCAGATATGATGCATTAAGAAATATTCAGCACAGGTTCTTTTGCTTTATGTAAAATAAATTATTTGTTTCCATAGACATATAATTTAACCAATGAATCTCTTTCTAAAATTTATTACAACCTTTGAGCTGCTTATCTATCTGAAGACGAGCGCCAAAACGTGTAACGCCGTACACTGTGGTCATAACTGTCTGCTTAATAACTTTACGGTGCACATGCCCCTCTAGTGCTTGGGCAACCTCATTTCCAGCATCGGCATCTTTAATTCTCTCATTTTCTACTAATACAGCTACAGCTGAGTACACATCCTGTGGAGATACAAAAACTTATTACACATCAAATTTGTATTGATATCCAATTCAATTATTGTTTTATGTGCAATAAAATCAAGAAAACCCACACATTAAGTTGTTAAAATTATGGTATGCCGTTTTGAAATATACAAACAGTACACAGTAGTTCAGAATAGTCAAGACTTTACCTTCACTGCTTTAACCTCACCCCTCCCACTTTTTTTTCCTCTATAAGCACTAGTCCTGCCTATCTTTGTTCAAACTGACAAGGAAGAGGCACAAATAATTTAGGTGTAGTACTATAATGTCTTATATAATGAAAAAAAGTCTTATCTGTAGTGCTTAACTGGGCACTAGGAACAGATATAGCTCTTAATGTTAAACTGGCCAGCACATACCTGTGGTACTTTACTGGGCGCCAGGTTGACAGATACAGCACCAATTTTATCCCGACCCAGGGCGGCATAATGCTGCAGACCATTGCAAGAGCCATCCTGGTGAACTGGCAGATAAGAAACATACTCTTCTTGATTGTCACTTCTGATGGCTGCTGCTAACTGAGATAAAAATTATGTTATGAATAAACCCATAATAAATAAATTAAAGTTCACATCTTGCTAAGTAACACGATATTGCTTTCAAATAAATCTCTCGATATACAGTATTTATAACAATGATTTCCTCTGACCATATAATTAAGAGTTTCTAACTTCCCATTACAGTACCTTAAAAATATTGCTACTATTTCTTGTGTTTCCACCTTTCCTTGCTTCTGTAGTTATGACTCCTTGTATATAGTCACAGCTACAGATTCATTTATTAACTGGTGGCAAGAAATTAATAATATAAATAGAGTAGCTAACTCTTTTTCAGTTTACTAACCTCTTTACATGCTGCTAGTGTCTGCCAGGGCTCATCACTTTCAGTCCACCACCGCCTACCAGTCAGAGGATTATCAGCCGAGTCCAGTATGTCTTCAATTACATTTTCACAGTATTTTAAGCGATCTTCTACAGTTTCTCTTTTGACAAAACCAGTCAGGTTTATCAGATGTAACTGAAAAAAAGTTTGAGAGATATCATCCATGTTTTGCATTTGCTCCTACCAATACAAATGGAAACATTAAATCCTTAATTATGAATCCTTTACCTTCTGCCTGAAGCAAGGATGGGCCAAATATGTATTTGTATTTATACTTACTAATACAGAGAAATACTACAAGTACTTCATTTATATTTGATGAATGTGTTTGCAAGTATAGATACAAAATGTATATGTTGGCATCAATGTAACTTGCAAGTTAGTGATCAGTAAGAGAAGCTACAATTTCATTAACATATTTAATAGACATAGTACCATATTTAACATTTTGATGCTAAAGAGCCTGGTGCAGACACATTTGTCTGTTAATGTCATAACTCTAGTCAGTTCCTGCTTCTTGCAATAACACAACAAACTGATGGTGGATCAAACTAGAAAGGGATTATCCAGAAATTGAATTATGACTTCAATGGGGCGAGGAGGCATCAGTTCAGAGGGAAAATAGAACAATGTACTGTACTGAAAGAAGGTTACATATTTAAATATTATGCCTCTGTTCATTATATCATTCACACTACAAAATATATATAGCATCAAGGATAAACAAGCACCAAAAACTCCAGCAATTAATGTTATCTACTGTACAGTGCTACAGTCACAGAAAGAAGAGCCATCTGTAAAACAGCAGCAAGTTCCAACTCTTATAGTCCCGTCAGGGTTTGAAAAATGAGCACATGGATATCTAAAATGATCTTCGCTGCTGACCATATCCAAAATGGTCTGTATTGCAACATACCATTTGCTCAGCCTTGTAGTGGAGAAAATGTCATTCTTACCTTGAGCCATTTTAATCCATGAGGTCCCAGTTTCTCTCCCTTGGCAAACTGTAAGACTGAACGAAAAACATCTGAACCCAGATGATTGAGGTGTGGAGGGCAGGGGTACACACGACCTCGGAAGTCCATGTTGTGCGGAAACCAAAACACTCGGTCACGGAACTATTTGGAGAATATACAAAAATAATTATCTGTATTATCTGTGAATAACTGCTGCAGGAACATAATTAAATAAATGCTGACCCATACATCAATAATCTTGAAGATTATAAACCCTAACCACATTATTCCCCACTGTCATGGGGCAGAGAAGCATCATCAAAACTGTCACCCTCACAGCACAATTTTTTTTTCCTCTTTTCCTTTAAATCAGTAGATCTCATTGAAAAGTATGGAAATACTAAAGTAAATCATACATCTGCCTATATTTTAGCCTAGGACGTATTCAAATGTCCACTGTGATGAACTGTTGAACACCAAATACCACATCACAAAAAAATAAATATACAGTGTACTTGTTTATTATTCTTAGGAAATAATGTACTGTATATTTAAAAGCCTTTGTATGTAAAAATTTAAACAAATAAATAAAATATATAAAATATATATTACATAAATCAGCCACCACATTTCTTACATTTTTTCAGAACCTAAACTTATCCAATTTGTATCTGTTGTTCTGTGTACTATTTTCTGGCCACATATTTAGTACTACTCGTATAACTTAGTTAAACCCTTTCCTCTATCTGTGTGTTAATCTTCACATGTAGGTTCCTAATGCCCAGGATAAACTTTATCAAACATTTCTCTACATTTCTATAGAATTTATGTCCACTCTATAGCACAGTGCCCTACACTAACTGTATAATCTAAATGGGGCCCTAACAAGATTAAGATAAGGCTGAAGAGTAACATTAGTGCACTAATAATACATCTACGATGAATCCTAGTATCCTGTTTTCCTTATTTACAACATTTATATATTAATTTCTCTGCTAACAATCCCAACATGATACATGCATCCCAACAAGCGACCATGGTTTGCATCTAAAACTACTACAAAAAAATTATTTTTGCATTCAGATTTAACAATTTCTAAGTTGTCAAGCTCATATCTTGTTATATCAAGTCATATCATATATATCTTGTCATATATCTTGTCATATCAAGCCTTGTTTTAATTTCCTAATCTTAAAACTTTTCATTTTGCAGCATAAAACTGCATCTGCTAATCTTTTATCAATTTTAAATGACTATCCAAGTTGTTTTATAGTAACTTTTAAACCTGAATACATTTCCTAACTTTAGTACCTTTGGGGGCTCTCACTTGTAATGGTTTCCAACTAGGACATGGAGGATATGGCTCCAATTATGTTAACTCTCTATTTCCTTTTAAATAATTGTGTTTTAATCCAACTTAAGATAACCTTTCCAATAGTGTGTGGTTCTACCTTTGTACCAAGTCTTTTGTGTTGTACAGTATATCAAAAGCTCTGCTAAACTCAAGGTGTAAAATGCTGCCATCTTCTTCATTATTGACCGCTTCAAATGTGTTGGAAAAAAAGAGCAAATCTTTTAAACACCAGAGGCCCTTAGGAAATCAATACTATGAGACCTTTATTCATACATGTATAAATAAAGGTCGAGCATCAATAAAGGTTGTGCCATTCGTGCACCATTTTTTCAAAATGTGCATGAATGGCATTTGTGTTTATTGATTCAAGCCATGTTTCTATAATAGTGGTCCAGCTAACTGGCACAGTGTCTGATGCAACAGCTACAGCAGTATACATACATGATGTGCAAGAGAAAGCTTGTAGAGTGCATCACACCAGAGAGAATGCATCTCACTCTTTTTCTGATCATACTCCAAATGCTGGCGACGTATCTTGTGAACTTCAGCACTGGTCATATCATCGTGAATTTTCTCAGGCTCTGGACATTCAGACAGCGGTTGTGGGATGTCCAGCTCTACACTTCCTTTGTTATTGAATAGCTGACAACGATAATTAAAATATTATAATAAAGACATGGATATGGTGTATCTTCATTATATTGTATTCAATGTTTTTAATTAGACTTATTGTCTGAAAATAATAACCAAATTATCATGAAAATACAAATCCACTACCACACGCAGTTCCTAATGACTGCTAAATTCCATTCTCTGAAAGGGGTAGGTACTCTAATACATTCTTCCTAATTACTGTGAGAACAATGTTTGTGCAAAACTCATTCAAGAATTCCTATATAGTTTGCACACATTCTTCTCCCGTGAGAATCCCCCTCTGCATCAAAAACCAGTTCTGTGCATACACTAATGTGAAAAAGCTGTGCCATTCAGATGCCTTTCATATGTTTCCATCAAATGTCTAGAAATATTGTACATAAAACTTATGTACAATAAGTACATAAAGTACTTATGTCCATAATGTAGGAATTCCATTACCAGTTTGGTGTAAGAATTTAACATTGGAAAGAGCAACATTTGTGACACAAAGGAAAAGAGAAATCAGAAGTTTATTGCCGAATTTCAAAGTAAATCCACAGAGTAGGGGAATATGCTATACAAATTATTTACAGTGATTTGAAAACATGGAATTGGTGTCCCAATTTCAGGTGATAGGATTTAAAACAGTCATGAGACTTGCAGAAAAACATGGCAAAACAGATTTTATGTTCAATGTCAGCCAGATCTAATTGTGCCTAGTTGTAATGCGAGTTAAATAGTGGAGAAGGCTGCCAAGCCTACTGTTGAAAAACTGCACAGATAGATTTCTAAATCACACAAACATTACATTACCTCAATAATAATATCGAGAACAGGCTTATTGATCTTCCAGGGAATAGTCGAGAGCTGGTTGAGAGAGTCCATGAGAGGGTACAGTTGCTGATTTCCACACTCCTCCATCCGCTGCCGTTGCTGGTAAGCATTAAACGGTAACCTGCAAGTAAGAGGGGTCATCGTATCAGTGCTACAAACAAGAGAGGGGATCATAGCATCGTGGATAAAAGCAAGAGTAACGCATTATGCATGTACAGTAGCAATTTACCAAATACTGTAATGTCATAACTTGTCAGATAGCTCCTCCCACCTGGGAATAATAGAAATTAAAACTGTCCCCTGCTTAGGCTGAGATATACATATTGTGAATTTGTTTAGGATACTAGAGATCAAAGAAAGCACAAAATTCCTGGTCAAAAGAGAATCCAAAGTCTCCAACTTACTACTGTAAGATGCTGGACCCAATCTCTTTGGTTAGAGAAACTCAAGCAAGATTGAATGTTCTCCAATGTCTCCCTAGCACCTTTATGCCCCTGTAGAAACAGTTTGAGAAGGTTCCACTAACACTGATGCACTATGTTTTCCTACATAACTATGAGTGAACATGTACTAAGTACTTAGATTCTTTTACATTAAGGAACAGAAGGAAATACTGTAGTTCAGAAAAATATGTAATGTTGTCTCTGGTGGACAACTTCCTAAGGTACTGATATCATTTGAAACTACTGGGAGAGTATCCATTGATAAATAGGGTATGTGCTTAAATATTTAGGTGCAGCTACACTTGATTCATTTTTGAGACACATGTATTGAAAGTTTCAAGTTTTATACACAAAATGCTTTTTTCATCTATCAGAGATACCACAAAACTATAAAAAACAAGACACAAATAATTACGTGAAAAAACATAACATTCCTACGAGATAGTGTATAACGAGGCACCCGGTGACAAAAGTTTGGTCTTCAAATGGGTCACCACAAGCACACTCCTCCTCTTACCTGACAATTTTGGCATTATTGATCAAATAGCCTCCCAGTTTAGTGGAGACCCAAGGTATAGGTGGGCACACCATGGGTGAGCACACTGACTCAAATGTCAATATTGGCTTAGCAGCTTTTTGATAAAGTTCCACCAGAGATGGCGAAGGTTTGATCTCGTCCACCACGCGGTAACCTTTGGTTCGCTCTACTTCGTATACAGCAGGATATGCGTGTCTGCAAGTAGATACACTGTATGTAAACTTTAATATTCACCAAGAACTAAGCACTTCATACTTGCTTTTAATGTCACATTTTAAAAAAACTTCCTAATTAAATCGAGTATCCACTCGATTTAAGGACCTCTTGTGTGCCATTCCGCCGATTCTGACGACCGAATTTAAGATCGTTAACTGGCTCCTTATTTACAGAGTCAATGTCAGTTAAATCCAGATTATGGTATTGAGTTTACAGAGGTTCGGTACGTGTTAAACTGGAGGCCAGTATTTGGTTTGTTGTGACAACCTTGCCCTAGCTAGGCCAGCAGTTATATTGTCTCTTCACAGATTTCACTGCTTCTGTTATGCAGCATGTAGTCAGAGCTAGTCACAGTCGCATCCCGTCAGAGACAGCCATGGTCAAGTCACAGTCAGTGAGGCATTCACAATCACAAGTCAGTGGGGCATTCACAGTTACAAGTCACAGTCAGAGGTAGGCATTCACAGTTATGGTAGCAACCAGTCACAGTTTATAAATAACATGAGTCTGATTTTGTTTACAGAACACCAACATTATGTACTCACAAGCTCAGTGTACCTTCATATATATGAATGAATTTCAGTCAGTCAGTTAGTTAGTTGAGTGGGCAATCAGTCGGTCAGTCAGTCATTTGGGCATCAGTTGGTTGGTCTGTCGGCTGAATGTTGATCAATCAGAAGCCGAGAATCTGAATATCGTATTAATCCCGTACCGACCGTCTAGACCCGGCTGGAGGGGTGGGGGGTATTTCTGGGAGGGTCCAGGGTGGGGGGGGAAAGAATGTAGCTGGGATGGGGGAACTGAGGGGATGGATAAGGCATGACCACAGCCACTCTGTGATCGTCTGCCTTCCACCCTGCCAGTCAAACCCACCCACCCGGCACACTCAGGCCCGCCCACCCTGCCTGCCTGCCTGCCAGTCAGCCACCGATCCATCCAACTACCTACGTACCCACCCATCCACCCAGCCAGCCTGCCAGTTTGTCAGCCACCTACCCACACATCCACCCTGCCCAGACTCTGCCCACCTGCCCCCACTGACCGTCCACCCACCAGTCAGCAACCAATCCATCCACTCCACCCTGCCTGCCCACCCCCTCTCCTGCCTGCCAGCCAGTCACCCATCCAGCCAGCCCACTTGCCTGCCCACCCACCTACCAGCCAGCCAGCCCACCCACCATCAGTTACTAAACTGTTACCAACATTTTAAAACCTCTGGATTTAGCGGAGCCCTGGATTTAACGACCTAGATACAGCCCCACATAGGTCGTTAAAGCAAGTGGATACTTACTAAAGTATCCATACTAAAATTATTTATGACAAAGCCACAAATGAAAACAAATTAAAGTCTTACTTTTTTGACTGGAGAGGATTCCAGACCATCACTTTTAAGAGAATGAGAGAGTACATAAACTTGCCAAGAGACACCATCACTGTGTTGGGCCATTCCACTGGGCTATGCTCTACATCAAGGCCACCTTCCTTCAAACATAACTCTTGCCAACACACACGAGGATTGTACGTTACACCATCTGTTATGGATACAGTACATGTATTACCTCTTGCAGGTTTTCGAGAGATTTTCTACTTTTTTTATTCAAGACCTCCTCTGTGACAACCTCATCAGATACAGACTACTGCTGCTTTTAGGCCTAAAGCTAACAGCAATCAAAACCTGGTTGATAATGAATGTTCTTGAAATAATTAGAGCTGAAGGTGAAGGTCCAATACATGTGTAAGTGTATTATTAAACCAAATGTTTAACACCACCTAAATAAAAGATGAAGGTTTCACCTGAAAATTTGGCTTAATATTACACTCACATATGTATTGACCTTTCTTTCACCTTCACTCAAACATTACAGTATTGTTGTAAGTTTCTCCATACTTGACCTAATAATTAATCTGTTTTAAAGACTAATGTTTCAATCATACTTTTCTCGGGCTGATGCCGGAGAAAAACTCAGTGATATAATTGCCTAAAATCACAAGATTACTCAAATTCTAAATCATTAACATGAACTTGCCATGTTCATTACTGCAGAGTAATCATATTTTGTGTTTCTACTCTTTTGAAAAATTATTAGTCCTTTCTGGTCACCCAAGTAAGTACAATACTATACTACTGTATAAGACAAGTAGAAATATGACTAAAAAGTTGCCAAGTCTATTTCCAAATGAATAATGATAGCATATATTTTAACTAACCTTTTCTATTGCTGTCGAAGTACCAAGAAAGGTAATTCTTGTAAACTCTCTTGAGCTTATCCAGCACACCAGTATCTCTCTTGTATTTCACCAGATAGCGGTTATACACATTTTCTCCCAATCGGCGATACAGCGCATATTTGGAGAAGGAGAATGTCTCTGACCCACGAGCTAATCTGTATATTTCCTGCAACACATTCATCATCACATACCATATATAATGCATAAATGAAAACACTTCCTGTCAAATATCAGTTAAAATGGTAAAACACAGAAGCTTGGAAGCATAAAACAGTAAAAATTGATCACATGATATTGAAAAGATGATCTAAATCAAAAAGTTAAGTACGGAGCTGGAAACCCAACACATTGATACTGTAGAAAGGAAGACTTGCATCAAAATGAAGACACACAAAGATATTTCAGCTTACCAAGAGGGACCAATGTAACAATGTATATCACGAAACTTGTGTACTGTATACTGGACATTTCATATGCCTAAGTATTGCTGAACAGGTTGATGACCATGAGTGGTGTTCCAAGAGACTTAATGTGTAGTGAATTAGAAAAATAGGTGAGATAAAACAAATGTGCAAGGGGAAATGAAAAAATTGGATGAGAAAAAGTTGCTATACTGTAAACAGTGCAGACAACAAAATACAAGATGGCCCCCAACAAGGAAAAAACATAACAGAGCTGGATTTTGGTGGATTCAATGAAGAAAGTATTAATATGAGCAATCCAGCCAGTCCTCACACTAGGCTATTTAAAGCAGCGGCTATCCTCCCCAGACGCATTCATCAATTTTAACATACTGCGTATTAAAAATTGGTTTGTTCTCATATACAAATTAATATTATTATACATAAAAATTCTATGTATAGTTAGGCATTTAGGTTCTGTTGGCCATGATTTGTATTTGAAGTACTGTACGTGGGTGAAGCATTTATAGAATTGTGGTTCGAACAGAGGACGTGAGCGAAGCACTTGTTCAGGAAGTGTTGAGACGTCATCAGTTGTGAGTACTGTAGTGTGTAACCCGCTTTTCATTCATAAACAGGGGGTTTGGCAGCTGGATTAATGACCTTGAATCTTTGTATGTGAGGACAGGCTGAGCAATCTACACAAGTTGGTAAAGTTAGACATTACTGTGAACTATCATATGGAAATAATCAGGAATTTGAGAGAAAGTAATGACCTCTTCAGCAGCAAAGTATTAGATCTTGATGGGCTACTGAAAGAATTATGCATGGACAAGAATCACTGGAAACTAAAAGCAAAGCCATGGAGGAGGAAAATAAAGTACAGTATTAAAAATAGCTATTGAAGAAGTTAAAGCAAATCTAAATGTGAATGAATACAATAGGTTAGGTAAGGAAATCCAGCAGGAAAAAAAAAAAAAAGCCCTTGTCAGTACAGATTGAGGAAGTTACACAGGGAATAGAACAATGCAAGAAGAATATGCAACTCACCTATACACAAGTGTCCAAGAAGGAGAAAATAGAAGAAGCGGTAAAGCAAGCCAGAAACTGCAGCAATCAGACATTAGACTGGAACTCAGAAAGGAACTGGCATCAAACCCAAAACTGGTGCAAAACACAGTCGATCGAAGTAAGTCACTATTAATTTTTGGTTGCAAAGAAAAGAAAATAACATCTAGGTCAGAAAGAGCCACAGAAGAAGCAAACATAGTAGATAAAATTCCATTCCATTCACCTGGACTGTATGTGTCTCAAACCGTGATAAATTTTGTGAGGATGGTAGGATGAATGACGAAGTGTGAGGATGGTATGAAGAATACTGTAGACATGGACAGGGCAGTATGAGAACACTAGCTCAGCAGGGCTATGGACGCACCAGAAATAAATGTCACAAACTTTATTGTCTAATTTATCATTTCATACAAGTTCAGAGAATCATTCATAAAACTGGATTTGGTCTAAATATTTAGTGAAATTCACCATGCACAAGTTTGGATTTTTGAGGTGCCACAGATACTATACAGCATATGAATGTGTTTGGGTGGATATAAACAGGAGCTGTCTTGTACAGGCCAATAAACTTTCTGTAGTTTCCTTAAATCTTATGTTATTATGGTATACAAATATTTAAGATGCACAAACATCGAGATACTCACCTGCATCATTATGCTGACAAACTCCTCTGGAGGTATGGAAATTAAATAAGGGTACAACGTCATTCGCTTATCGAGCCGGTTAGCGAAAAAACACTTCTTCAGCGCATTTAACTGAGTTACAAGCGTCTGGTGCAGCACCTTCCTCCATTTATCTTCCCAAAATTCAAGCATTTCTCTCTATGGCAACAAAACAAAAATATAAATGTCACATAAGGCTCTGTTGTTAAGTAATGAATGTTTCTGCCATAAATGTTTCTGCTGTTTCACCTACATTCCATGTACCCTATATTGTGAACTAAATACAAATTGATGTCAGCGCCATACATTTCACAGGAAAGCAGAAGATATGGGTTATGGAGTTGTTGATATTACCGGAAGGTATGATTTGACCGGAGAGTACCAGAGATACTTCACTTACATAGTACTGAGTATCTTCAGCATTCATCTTCTTCTCAATGCTGTCAATGACTAACTCACTCTTTACCTCCAGGGCAAACTGCTCCTCGGCCCATGCTGCCAGCTGGTCCTCAGTCACTGCACCTTCCGCCGGTGAAGTTACCTATAGTGTGAAAGCCTCACCTTAATTCTACATATAAATAAAAATGTTGTCGCAGACATGTTAGCTCTCATTATTCTACTTTATAAATTCATTTTCATTTTGATTATTTTTAACCATCTTTCCCGACACCGATCTCTTGGTCATCTCTGGGCCGTTTACCTTCGGGTTGTTTACCTCTTGGTTATTTACCTCCAGGTAGTTAACTCATGGGCCATTTACCTCCAGACTGTTTACCTCCTCACCCCATGAAAATGTGAAGTAAAAGTGGCAGTGCTGATAGCTAGTGAAGACAGCCGTGCGCGAGAGAAACAAGTGTGGCTTATAATACATAGGCTGTTAGAGTATACATGTTCAATAGACTGGCATGGCAATGAGTTAAGATAACAAATCATAAAAGAACATTTGTCCCATTAACTGAAAAATTTGCACTGGTCACGATAAATTGGTAATAAATTTAGTGTCGCATTAAAGATCTGTGTGCGCATCACAAATAATTGTAATACATTTTTAATTTGACACCAAATTCATCACAATGGACCATGGCAAGTGCTAATTATTCAATTGAAGGAACAACTGTTCTTTCATATCAAGATTTGTTAGCCAAATCTTCGCCATGCCAGATAACAACTTGCCAATGCATGTCATGGAATGGTGACTGGTTAAGCTAACAAATCATCATATGAAAAAAATGTGTTCCCTCAACTGAACAATATGCACTTGTCACAATCTAGTGGTGATGAATTTGGTGATGAGGAAGCAGCCTAAATGAAGTCACACAAAAATGACTTCTTGTAAAGGTCATTTTGCAGCCTCGCTGCAGGCTCATTTAGTATCAATGATAATCTGTTTCATATCAATAATTACATACTCAGATATGTCACATAAAGTCCCTGGCACCATTTTGTTATCCGACAACCCACCCTCCTTGGATACAATAGGTAAGTCTCAAATAAAAAAAAACAATTGTTTACACTTTGATCAGGTGACTCTCGGCCTCGGAAACAGCTTGGACGAATAATCCTCACTTAATCACACATTTGTATGTTCCACTGAACAATTTGTACCGAATACAATTTCTTCGGACCATCCAGGAATTCATTTCAATGGGGTTTGTTAGAGCGAGGATACACTGTATATGACTTTTGTGCTAGTTCTGATGATGTACTGGAGCAAGGTGCTGCTAGTACCATGTGATGCTCTGCACTAACAACATATACAGTAATAGGCAGAAAGAATTTTGTAATATATAATGTAATATACCTGTATAATGTCCACCACACCTCACTCCGAAAAACTTGGAAATTATGTAATCATCATCAAGCTGAAGTAATCAAAATTTATCCAAAGCATTTCAGCCACCAAGCCTCTCTTAGACAAATGTGCCGTACCTTTGTTGAGTAGAGAGACGTGTTCAACTCGTTGACAAGATTGCATCTGAAACCAGCAGGGAAGGTTTCTTGCTTTGGCTTAAATGAGGGAATAACACGTTGAATGGCTCTCAGAGTACTTTCATGTCCATCTCGTACAAATTCTACCTTCTCAAAGAGTGCCTGGATATCTATGCCCTATAGGAGTAAAGCTTTATGTTAAATAAATTCATTAAGTTAGCAATTGTTCTATTAGCCATGAAATAATACAGTATAATATATAACGAGTTTAACTGCAGACTTCAGCTGTAACCAAGGAATTTTTAAGAAACATAATATGCTCAAGATCAAGTGCAATGAATGTTTTTAAAGAAGCTTTGTTTATCATTCTTATTCCAATATGCTAAACCATTAGTTCATACATACTATTCTTAAAAAGTCATACTGTATACCAGTCAGAATTTACCAGTCATTGAAACTTCCATAACAAGTGGGAGCCATAGATAAAAAAAAAAAATTAAGAATACTGAAGTCACATGAATCTTTGATTTCAAGGAAAAGAAGGTAATTATTCAAATGTACAAAAGAAGGTAATTATACAAATGTACAAACAAACAAACTGGTGCGCTTCTGTTTGGACTAAGTATCCGCTTGATTTAAGGACCTTTTATTTACATGCATGTCATGTAAATAAAAGGTTCCGCCGATTCTAAAATGTAAGTAAACCGTTCCACAGATTCTAACGTCCGAATTTTAGATCGTTAACTGGCACCTTATTTACAGAGTCAATGTCAGTTAAATCCAGAATATTTTATTAAGTTTACAGAGTCCGGTACGTGTTAAACTGGAGGCCAGTACATATTATGTTTGTTGTGACAAGTTTGCCCTCACTAGGCCAGCGGTTACATTTTCCATTCACAGATTTCACTGCTCCTGTTATGCAGCATGTAGTCAGAGATAGTCACAGTTGCATCCAGTCAGAGGCAGCTATGGTAGAGTCACAGTCAGTGAAGCATTCAGTCACAAGTCACAGTCAGGCAGGCATTCACAATCACATGTCAGGCAGGCATTCACAATCACATGTCAGGCTGGCATTCACAATCACATGTCAGGCTGGCATTCACAATCACACATCACAGTCAGTCATAACCAGTCAAAGGCAGTAAGGCATTCACAGTTGTGGTAGCAACCAGTTACAGTTTGTAAACATCACAAGTCTGATATTGCTTATAGAACACCAACGTTATGCACTCTCTCAAACCCATGTACTTTCTTGTATAGGAGAAAATTCTGTTAAAGTGCCAGATATTTAAAAAGCTGATATTAATGGCCTAAGAAATTTTTTGGATGAAATAGATGAGAAAGTCCTTGGCATGGGGGGTGGGCCAGTCTTGGAGCGAGACGTGAACCCAGCAATGGGTGATGTAAATAGGGATTTTGATGTGGATTTAAAATATAACATATTTCAAAATATTTTAAGCAAAGCACAGGAACGTAGTATACCATACAAATTAAACAGATCTAATAATACAAATACTGTATACCTGAGGTGGTCCTCAAGTATATTTGTATAAGAATACAATGCTGTTTATACAGGACATTATCTCTGTCATATCTAAGCAAAAGAATGAAACAGAAGTAAAATAAATACTAATATACAGTACTGTACAGTATAAACATTTTGTTGCTCTCGTGAGAAATATGGTTTTTATATTGATGTTGACTAGACCACACACTAGAAGGTGAAGGGACGACGACGTTTCGGTCCGTCCTGGACCATTCTCAAGTCGATTGTGTTTAAAGTTTCTCAAGTTTAAAGATTCTCAAGTTTAAAATCTCTTCCATCCTTCAACATACTTTAGCCACGTTATTGTGACTCATCGCCTGCATATGGTTTTATACTGTGTATGACCTTTCACAAAATCACTCACTGCTTTTTCCATAGTAGAGAAGCATCCATTAATATTGTTTGTGTTGGTAGGTGATTCTGGTTCCTGTCCCAGGCAATTCAACAATGCAGCAAATGTAGTCTCGTTAGGTACAATGTTGTCTTCATCAAGCCACTTTAAAATCTCTTCCATCCTTTTAAAGTTTCCCTGAAAAGTAATTAAATACAGTATTAGTTATGAAATTGCAAATGGAATTGAAAAAAATGTGTAATGTATAAAGTTGCTGTACATACACAAGACTTTATATTCATTGTTTCTATAAAGTTAAAATGAAATGAAACTTAATCTTTTCTGCATAATGGAACTATGAATAAATAATATTACAAAAAGAAAAACAAACTAATTACAGTATTTTGTGATCTATTATGGTATTGTACTGACTTGGAATACAGTAACACTTGCAGATATTGTTTCAATACTCAGTATTTTAGAAAATCCCAACAATCATTCCTTGTCTGTTGCATTTCCCTGTTGGTACAAATGCATGATTTCACCTTCAAGTTTGCAATGTGTCATATCTGGATGACAACCCTTATTAAGTATTCATCACAACAGGATGCTAATGAAGCCATTGTCATGACAAAAGCTTGAGTGCACAAGTATTGGAAATGGCAGTTCACTTCTCAGTGCCACATTCCTAGCCTAGTTTGTTGGCAATTAACCCTTAGGCATCAGTCACTGTCATGTTGATTCACTGGGTAATGCAGTTATCCTCATATGACAATTTAAACAATTCTTATCTGGGTTTTAAATGCATGATGCAAATATGGATATAATAGGTCTATGTGTATGTAATGAAGTTTACCTTGACCTAATAAAAAAATCCTGTGGTTATGTGTACTAAGTGAATGCATTTATCGTCACAAGTATTACTAGGGAAATGCGGGCATCGTCATACAACGATTTAAACAATTATTGACAAGATTTTGCATGTATGATGCAAATATGGATAAAATAGCTCTTTGTGGATGTAAATAAAGAAAAACAAGTGATAAACAATTAGTGAAACATCCAAGGATAACACAGGAAGCATCAGCAAAGTCAAGAACGCATTGACAGGCGTCAGACACAGCCACCGAGCATCCTTCCAGAGTGCCTTCACCCAGTGTAACAATAAATATTCACTTATTTTCAAGCTTTCTTACATTTTGTATAAAAATTAATACCTATAATGAAAAATTATTTGTTGGAATTTTAAAAAATTTTGCACATAGGTAGGTATGACCTTTTCTCCATAGTGGTTGTTTAAGGGTTAATAACACCAGAATGTTTCATCGTGACCTTATTCTCGATGAGGCTTTATTGTTGTTATGTGGATTGATACATCATTCCTTCTGTTTATTTCTCCATTAATATACTGTAACTAGCATTTTTGAGTCGTGTCTCTAATAACAAGTTACTTATTCTATGGCATATGGTCTCTTGTATCAAGTCATGGTTTTCATAGATAGGTATTTTTCCCCCAAACACAAACCAGTTTGCTCTCCTCACTCTTCAGCTTATTGTCTTTTCCAAGCCATATCTATCCATGACATTTTCATTCCCTAATCTATTTTCCTAACATCACATACTTCTCAGATTGTCCATCTCTATTAGTCAAATGATTCATTTTTTCATGTTGATGAAAAACTATCATATCCCATCTGTACACAAGGATAGGTAGTACCACTCCATGTAGTGACAGGTCTCCACACTGTTCAAGACAGGAGAGCCAAAGATGTACCCAAACCCTGTGAGGAGATGATAAAACTCAAAGGTAAACAAATATGTACATACTGTACAGCTGATAAGTTTTACCTTTTCTGCATAACCCAAAAGTACGGCATTATAAGGATGAATGGAGTTGATCTTCTGACTTGCAAACTTTCTTTGTTTAGAACAATTGCGGTAGTATAGGAGTGTATGGATGGCACGATTAAGCATCCCCAAGCTGATCTGCAAATAAAATAACGTGAAATCACAATAAAAAAAATACAAAACAATGCACTGTAATTTGGATTTAAAAATGTAAAGATAACCCCCTTCACATACCTATCTACCCCACACAGGACCATAAGTGATTACTTGTTTTGTAAGAGCAATGCCATTGTGTAGTACATCTAATTTACTAATGTGCTTTCTCCTGAAGAAATATACCAACAAGTAAGAAAGAGTCAAGAGGAATGCTACTATACCCTGGGCAGGCTATTGACGCCATGTCATGAATTCATCACTGAAAGAATATATAAAAGAGATTGAAATTGAAATAAGTTTATTGAGGTAAAATACACACAAAGGGATGAGGTAGCTCAAGCTATTCTCACCTCGTTCAGTACAATGTGTTAATACATACATAGACACACATCACAAACAATAAACATATTACCAAACATTCTGAGAGATAAACATATACATTTCCTCCTTCACAAGTAGTATGTTATCAGACGTACACACAAATACTTTTATGATAAAAGAGATGGGATCGTTATATTTTTTATTGAAGTGTATCAAGATACAAAATCAAGCATCGAGTACTGTACATATAATTTAAAATAATTTAGTCATTCATTGTGTCAGGGGACAGACAGCCAGTATTATATTATATTATATTTTACACACACACACACACACACACACACACACACACACACACACACACACACACACACACACACACACACACACACACACACACACACACACACACACACACACACACACACACACACACACACACACACACACACACACACACACACACACACACACACACACACACACACACACACACACACACACACACACACACACACACACACACACACACACACACACACACACACACACACACACACACACACACACACACACACACACACACACACACACACACACACACACACACACACACACACACACACACACACACACACACACACACACACACACACACACACACACACACACACACACACACACACACACACACACACACACACACACACACACACACACACACACACACACACACACACACACACACACACACACACACACACACACACACACACACACACACACACACACACACACACACACACACACACACACACACACACACACACACACACACACACACACACACACACACACACACACACACACACACACACACACACACACACACACACACACACACACACACACACACACACACACACACACACACACACACACACACACACACACACACACACACACACACACACACACACACACACACACACACACACACACACACACACACACACACACACACACACACACACACACACACACACACACACACACACACACACACACACACACACACACACACACACACACACACACACACACACACACACACACACACACACACACACACACACACACACACACACACACACACACACACACACACACACACACACACACACACACACACACACACACACACACACACACACACACACACACACACACACACACACACACACACACACACACACACACACACACACACACACACACACACACACACACACACACACACACACACACACACACACACACACACACACACACACACACACACACACACACACACACACACACACACACACACACACACACACACACACACACACACACACACACACACACACACACACACACACACACACACACACACACACACACACACACACACACACACACACACACACACACACACACACACACACACACACACACACACACACACACACACACACACACACACACACACACACACACACACACACACACACACACACACACACACACACACACACACACACACACACACACACACACACACACACACACACACACACACACACACACACACACACACACACACACACACACACACACACACACACACACACACACACACACACACACACACACACACACACACACACACACACACACACACACACACACACACACACACAGAGGATTGGTTCAATAGAAATTGCGAGAGGGCTAGAGACCGAAAGACACAAAAATGGAATCACTACAGGAAGAGGCCGAACCCCCAAACATACCAGCGATACAAAGATGCGAGAAACAACTACACGGCAGTGAGGAGAGAGGCAGAAAGAAATTTTGAAAAAGGGATTGCGGACAAATGTAAAACAGAACCAGGTCTATTCTATAAATTCATAAACAACAAATTGCAGGTAAAGGATAATATTCAGAGGTTGAAAATGGGAAATAGATTCACGGAAGATGAAAAGGAAATGTGTGAAACACTAAACGAAAAGTTCCAAAGTGTGTTTGTACAAAATGAAATCTTTAGGGAACCAGATACAATAAGAATTCCAGAGAACAACATAGAACACATAGAGGTGTCTAGAGACGAAGTGGAAAAAATGCTCAAGGAGCTCGGTAAGAACAAAGCAGCTGGCCCAGATGGCGTTTCACCATGGGTTCTGAGAGAATGTGCATCTGAGCTCAGCATTCCACTTCACCTGATCTTTCAGGCATCCCTGTGTACAGGAATCGTAGCAGACGGGTGGAAACAGGCTAACATAGTTCCAATCTACAAAAGTGGCAGCAGGGAAGACCCCCTCAATTATAGACCTGTATCATTGACAAGTGTAATAGTGAAAGTATTGGAAAAACTAATCAAAACTAAATGGGTAGAACACCTAGAGAGAAATGATATAATATCAGACAGACAGTATGGTTTTCGATCTGGAAGATCCTGTGTATCGAATTTACTCAGTTTCTATGATCGAGCCACAGAGATATTACACGAAAGAGATGGTTGGGTTGACTGCATCTATCTGGACCTAAAAAAGGCTTTCGACAGAGTTCCACATAAGAGGTTGTTCTGGAAACTGGAAAATATTGGAGGGGTGACAGGTAAGCTTCTATCATGGATGAAAAATTTTCTGACTGATAGAAAAATGAGGGCAGTAATCAGAGGCAATGTATCAGAATGGAGAAATGTCACAAGTGGAGTACCACAGGGTTCAGTTCTTGCACCAGTGATGTTTATTGTGTACATAAATGATCTACCAGTTGGTATACAGAATTATATGAACATGTTTGCTGATGATGCTAAGATAATAGGAAGGATAAGAAATTTAGATGACTGTCATGCCCTTCAAAAAGACCTGGACAAAATAAGTATATGGAGCACCACTTGGCAAATGGAATTTAATGTTAATAAATGTCATGTTATGGAATGTGGAATAGGAGAACATAGACCCCACACAACCTATATATTATGTGAGAAATCTTTAAAGAATTCTGATAAAGAAAGAGATCTAGGAGTGGTTCTAGATAGAAAACTATCACCTGAGGACCACATAAAGAATATTGTGCAAGGAGCCTATGCTATGCTTTCTAACTTCAGAATTGCATTTAAATACATGGATGGCGATATACTAAAGAAATTGTTCATGACTTTTGTTAGGCCAAAGCTAGAATATGCAGCTGTTGTGTGGTGCCCATATCTTAAGAAGCACATCAACAAACTGGAAAAGGTGCAAAGACATGCTACTAAGTGGCTCCCAGAACTGAAGGGCAAGAGCTATGAGGAGAGGTTAGAAGCATTAAATATGCCAAAACTAGAAGACAGAAGAAAAAGAGGTGATATGATTACTACATACAAAATAGTAACAGGAATTGATAAAATCGACAGGGAAGACTTCCTGAGACCTGGAATTTCAAGAACAAGAGGTCATAGATTTAAACTAGCTAAACACAGATGCCGAAGAAATATAAGAAAATTCACCTTCGCAAATAGAGTGGTAGACGGTTGGAACAAGTTAAGTGAGAAGGTGGTGGAGGCCAAGACCGTCAGTAGTTTCAAAGCGTTATATGACAAAGAGTGCTGGGAAGACGGGACACCACGAGCGTAGCTCTCATCCTGTAACTACACTTAGGTAATTACACTTAGGTAATTACACACACACACACACACACACACACACACACACACACACACACACACACACACACACACACACACACACACACACACACACACACATGTTAGGCTTATATTAAGGTCCCCTCAAGGTCGAATTACTGACCCTTTCCAGGAAGCAACTTCATAACAAGCTAACTCCTAGGTACCTACTTACTGCTAGATGAACAGGCACATTAGGTGATAGGAAATGCACCCAACCATTTCTGTCCTGCTGGGATGTGAACCCAGAATTCTTGATTGAAAGTCGAGAACGAACCCGACCGTATTACCAGGTCCCTATGAAAAAACATTTTTCTGAGCAATACTCTCAGTTGTTCCCCATGGCAGAAGGGCCCTGCTAATTTCCAATTAGGATCTGCACAATTAGAGCAGGTCTTCTACACAAGTGCAGCAGTAAACTTTAAAAAGTTCGCACCAGGTCAAACTAATGATTGGGAATACTTGAGAATATTCAGTCCAGTCTAGAATCTTGTAGAAAATTCCCTTACAAGAATTCAAATGCATTTCTAAGTGCAATATTGCATCAAAGAGACCACTAAACTGTGCACTTGCTAACTACTAAACAGCCTGCTATGACACTACTCTCACCTGCAGGCAGCCAACACAACAACCCTTCCCACATTCTACCTAAACCCCAGGCTTTGAACCCCACCACCACTGTCAAGCATAGGCCTGCACAGTGGTGTAAACAGACAATTGCATGGAGAAACTGGAGGAGGTATAATATATAAGTATACCCACCTCCACAACACCCAACTCTGTCCTAGGAGAAAAAGGATCATGAAAAAGCTTGCCCAAAGCAACATATTTTAGAGATGTAAGGAAATATTTAATAAGTGAGAGATTTGAGATCAATTTAAATTAACTAGAAAATAAACAAAGCCAACTACATTCACAATTCCTTGACAGAAAGGCAGGAATCAGCTGAAGCTTAATCCTATAAACTCAAATGTACACACATGTACTGTACTCATTCATTCACTTTCTCTGAAAGATTACACAAGAACTACCAAGACAAAAAATAAGCTCCAAAGATACTTACACATATGCTCACATAAGCAGTAAGCGACTGGTTAAAACTTTCTTCTCGTCCTTTTCTTCTAGCTTCCTTTAACAGAGTTTCTTGCTGCTGTTTCACTTTCTTTGTTTTCTTCACAATTTTTTTAGGAAGTGTTGAAGAAGCACTGACACTCTCATTCCCCAAGATCGGCGGCAACGAACCTTCCACATCTGGTTCATGTGCTTCTGTTTCGGTCTCCTCCAAAAGATGTTCATTACTTAACACTTTAGTTGGTGAATGCTTCTTTTTAGATTTAGATGTGTTGGAGGAAGTAGCTTTAACCTCTTTTAATTTACTCGATACAGATTTTTTATGCACTACAGCTGCAGATTTGGTTTTCTTTTTAGAGGACACTGCTTTCTTTTTAGAGGACAATTCTTTCTTTTTAGTTTTTACACTAGAAACTGCTGCCTCTTCTTGCACAGGAACATGAGCACCATTAACAAGATCACCATCACTAGTTCTTGGAAAGGGGACAATCCCTACCTGAGCAAAACCATTGAGTGGGTGAGATAAGAGTGATATGTCAGTACTAGGCAAGCCAGACGATGCATTTCCTTCCAAAGGTGCATCATTCTTAAACAACTTTTCTGAAAAATTTATATCACTAGATTTTAATTCCAACATTTCTGTATTCTCACTAACAACATCGTTCAATAGAAAACTTGCATCATAGGTATGGGGCATGTTTCTGTCCCATCTCACTTCCTCTTGTATAGTAGGATAGCCAGTCCAACTGCTCTCATTGTGTGAACTTATTAAAGCCTTGAATTTTTCACTTACAACTGGCTCACTAAGTTCAAGCAAATTTTGTGTGAGGAAACAATCTTCCACCGACTGAGGCACTTGGGCAGTTGTTGGCAATTTTGGAATGCGTTCCAGGGTCTTGCTGAAGGAATGTTGATTGATATGTGTAACAAGAGCTTTGCCCTCACTGATGCTCTCATCTGCAACTGTGTACAGTACAGTATTTACAAATTATATGCTGCATTAACATGTTTATTGAAAAATTATAATCGGCAATAACTTTTTTAGTGAAAAATTATATGCTGCATAACATTTTTAGTGAAAATTTATATGCTGCATTAACATTTGTAATTAAAAATTATATTCTGCACAGCAGTCAATCATATCACAAAAATAATCAGAGTTTATAGTAAATATTTTCAAATGCTGTATAAACACATTCACTCACCTCGAATGATATCTACCGTAGACTTATTTTTAATACGACCTTTGGGTTGTGACTTGGGAAACTGTGCGTTCATCTGAGTAGAAAACCTGTGTATCCTCCAGTCTCTTCCACCATCTGTAAAATATATTGGTATGAAATTGAGATTTGAGTTATCAGGGTATACTGTACTGTGCACCACTTAATTAGATTTATGAAGATGGACCATGATGTGTTACTGCCTTACTGCTTCCCAATATTCATTGACAATGAAGCAGAAGCAGAGAACATAGAATAATGTATTACTGTATAAATAATTCTTCTGCTATGAAAAAGCTGGTATTGTCTGAAAGCCTTTATCTGTATGTTACCATTTTGCAGTACTGTACTACTGCACATGTGAGTACAGTAGTGTGGTTTATTTTGTCATGTTTTAATATCTTTAAACACATCTCTTATTGCTATTTTTATTGTTATTATTATTATTCTTTCTTTAACGTAAGGTTAGGTTGGGTAAGGTTAGGTTGGGCAAGGTTAGGTTGGTTTTAAAATTTGATGGCAAACCATCTTGTCTACGATGTGACTTTTATCCTTCTCCATTTGGGTTAAAACTCAATTTGCTAAGTGAACAAAGGCATGGGTGAGAGGAAACGTGTACACACACCTTTCTTTCCCAGCCAAGAATCAAACCCGGTGTCCCCCCCACTAATGAGAGTCAAGAACGAAACCTAAGGTTAGGGGATGAAACAGTAATGGGCAAACTAGCATGGAATGAAGAGGAAGAAGGGGAATTAGCAATAGGGTGCACTGTTAGGGAGGGAGAGGGAGCAACTGGGAAAGGGGTGAACTGGTACTGGTGTGAGTCTTCACACCCGGGGTAGGTGAGGGAGCAGGTAAAGTACTCACTGTGTGGTGTACAGCCTCCAGGGAGGGCCCTCAGCTGCCCTCGGCCCCTGGCCGTCACTCTAGGGCCCGTCAGGGGAATGCCACACGTGCTAGGCTGTAAAAACCTCAAAAAGCACACTCCCTGAGCCATGCTTCCTGCACCCCTTCCAACTCGTGAACACAATAATAATTTGTTATTGTTAACCATATGATCAGCAAAGTGTTGGATCCCTTAGAGTTCCTCAACACTATATAGGATCCTCCGCGGCGCCTTAATACGATGCTGCAGTCTCTATACTTGCGAGCATCGGTGTCCTTATGTGCTCCATACAGTAAAGCTGAATAATAGATCTATACATTTATTAGTGTATGAAAACCTTTTGTTTTTTTTCTTATAGTTGGTGTTCAGCGAAAAATAGTGAACACCTCAGGCAGAGATCCTCGCTACACGCGCTGTGTCTACCAAAAAAGCTATAATAATAATAATACTTAATCATTAATAACTACATAATAATAATAATAACTAATATTAATGATAATAATAATAATAATAATAATAATAATATAATAATAATAATAATAATAATAATAACATTAACAATAATAATAAAAGTAATAATAATAATAATACACAGAGTAATCACACTAACGTGATATTTATTTATTTATTTATTTATATACAAGAAGGTACATTGGGGGGTTAAGAGAGAAGATAGAAATGAAGTTGATTTTACATTCTTGTAAAGCCACGCACACATAGCGTTTCTGGCAGCACACATTCGGGTTTTGGATATATCAATGAGAAAATTCGTACGAGCCGTGATGAGGGTTCGAACCTATGTGGTGCGTGTTAGGGTGTTCCCGCTGCAGTGAACATTTTCTCATTCATACATCACGTTAGTGTGATTACTCTCTGTACTCACCTAGTTATGCTTTGGCTCCTTGGTCCCGCCTCTCAACCGTTAATCAACTGGTGTACAGATTTCTAGATGTGTATGGAGTCAGCCTCCACCACATCACTGACTAATGCATTCCACCTGTTAACTACTCTGACACTGAAACAATTCTTTCTAATGTCTCTGTGATCCATTTGGGCCACCCTGTGTCCCCTTGTTCGTGTTACACCCATGCTAAATAGTTTGTCTTTGTCCACCCTGTCAATTCCCCTGAGAATTTTGTAGGTGGTTATCATGTCTCCCCTTACTCTTCTGTCTTCCAGGGACGTGAAGTTTAGCTTCTGTAGCCTTTCCTCATAGCTCATACCTCTCAGTTCTGGGACCAGTCTGATGTCACACCTCTGAATCTTCTCCTTTATGTACACCAATACTGGAACATGCAACACCGGCATTGAGTCTGCCTCTTGTGAATATTAAAACCAAAATTGAATAAGTACAAAGCTTTGCAACAAGATTGGTGCCAGAGTTAAGAGGGTTAAGCTACGAGGACAGATTATTGGAGCTAAATCTCACAACCCTTTAGGAGGCCTGGAGGACCGGGCCGCGGGGACACAAGCCCCGAAATGATGGCAAGGTCATAGCAAGACAACCCGAGAGGACGGAAGAAATGTTATCACAAAATACAAGATGTTTAGGGAAATAGAGAAGGTGGACAAGGACAGGTGTGTAAAGTGAGAGGAAGTAGGACAAGGAGACACAGGTAAAGCTGTATAACACAAAGGAGTCGAAGGAATGATGTAAGGAAACACTCGTGCCCTGCACGGCCGGTCAACAAGTGGACGCATTTTAAAAAGTTGTGGAAGCCACCTCCGTCCACAACTTTAAGGCCACATTCAACACAAATATGTGTCAGGAGAGTTAGACTATAAGACAGCAGGTACACAAGGGCAGCAGGAGGGGCACCAGGAGCTAGACCTCACTAACCGTCGTCACTATTAGGTAAGTAACCCACTCCCATTCATCCTGTCTTATAATTTAACCAACCGTCACTACCACTTCCTCTTCCTCCCCCCCCCCCCGTCAGCTGAGACACTCACACTAGGAGTGGACACTTGTACTTACCTATCTGTGACTACAGGAGAGAGGTCCAGCTCTCCATGCTCCGCCTACTAGCCTTGTTGTACCGTATGTATTTATATATACATATACAAGAAGGTACAGTGGGTATATAAGAGGACAAAGCATTGATATTTATACATTCTTGTAAAGTCACTAACACACATAGTGTTCTGTTGCCTTACAACTTAACTATTCTGACCTTGAATTTCTTTGTCGAATCTGTTGCCAGATTGGGCTACGAATAGCGAATTGGGCTACTTTTGAGAGCCCCGCGCTCCCAAATTTTTAATTTCGCTACTTGCTACTTTTTGGGCTAATTTAAAAGCAAGATGTGCTAATTTGGTTTGGTCCACGGGAGACATCTCCCGTCACGCAGGGTTCAGTCGCACCTCCACAGATCTCCAGTATCAGCTCTTAATACTGGTAATGGCTCAAAAGGGCCACCACTTACGGGCTATTCATGCCCGTGCCACCTTTTGGACTGCTTAATCTTCATCAATCAATCAGCTAATTTGGGCTGTTAATGTTAAGAATGCACGATTGCGAGTTACATGAAAGTAACTAAGCTATAAATAATTGTAATTAATAATAATTGTAAATATTAATTAATACTAAATAATATTATTTAATAAATTAGTCCCAATTCAATGCAGAGTTTTCTTCCAAGCTCAGAAACTTGTATATATAAACACAAGATAATAGATTGATCGATAAATAACTAGACAACTTTCAAATATTGCACCAAGTAATGGCGAGAGGAAAAAAACTAGACAGTATACATTACATTTATTTATTTATTTATTTATTTAATTATTTATTTATTTATGCATATACAAGAATGTACATAAGGAATGTGAGGATTTGAAATTGAATTTGATTTACATTTGAAATTAATAATGGATGAATGGTAATAAATTAGTGTATGTTTGTATGTATACCAGACAAAGTCCATTTCATGGCAGAAATTAGCCATTTTGTGTAAAAACTTTTATATCTCATACTATTAATTATAACAGTAATGGAAAAAAGTCATAGTTTGTATATACAAGAGATGAAACAGCGAGCTAGAGCGATGTGCTCGGTCCATAAGGAGGCGGAGCTTCCAGAAATACCTTCCTGTGATTGGCTGGTGCGGGGAACACCAACACTCTTTTATGAATAAAATTTAAACTAAGAAATAGGTCCTTGTGCACAACAACAAGGTAGGTGTGAAAAAGAACAACAATTTCTGTTTTGCACCTGACAGAAATCTCCATCTAACTGAATAATTTACTCGAATAAGAGGACAGAGCAGTGTATCATTATTTGTGTGAGGCAACCGCCTCTTATGACGTCACAAGCTAGGTAGCCAGCCCATGTTTCTGTAACACTCGTTACATCTTGCAGTATTTAATTATCACTTTATTAACGCTTTTAAATAGTTAACATTTTACTTTTTAGGTATATTAAAGTTGAAGCAGGATGTCATAAGCATGGATGGTGAGCTAAATAAAGATGATTTATTAAGTGGATGGCACCTATAGCTGATCCCATCCTGTGATTGGCTGTTGTGTGAATGTCAACAAAGAGTTTCTACAAAATGATATGCCATTTATTATGCACCCCATACCACTTGTGGGCGGAGCTAGGAACCTCCTACCCGAGCACAACAACCTGCCTTATGGGTTGCTGTTTGGCTATTTATAGTGCGTTGGAAAAAAAAGAGATGGCGCTAGTGGTATTTTGTGGGGTAATTTGTTATAAGTGTAATTTGATGCCAACAGATGGCGTAAGCTGTACCTTATGGCTACTATTGACCAGCCAGTTAATAGTGTTCTCTTTTGCCGACAGATGGCACTAGCTGTATCATTATTACCTCCGAATTCCCTTTAAACACTGATCTACAAATTCCTTGGCTTGTGATAATTAAGGTTTTATACCACTCATGATAAGTATTAGATAACTGGAGTTCTGCAATTACTTTTATTTATCAACTGTTGAGGATATCATCATATAATGTCTGGTTAGGACGTACTGCTCTCGATTGATGAAGATTAAGCCACCCAAGAGGTGGCACGGGCATGAATAACCCGTAAATACTGCTCTCGTAATATTATTCAGGAGGGTGGGGGAACTATCAAGTGAAAGCGCCAAGCCATTACGACCATATAACACTGGGAAATATCAGGATAATGATTTGGGATGGAATGGGGGAAAGGAATGGTGCCCAACCTCTTGGGCGGTCGGGGACTGAACGCGGACCTGTAAGAAACGTCGCTCTACCGTCCAGCCCAAGTGGTTAAGCATAATATTATTTAAACAATAATTTATGCATATAATAACAGCATTTCACACTAAAAACACTTGGATATATTGAAATTTGGTAATGAATTCCAATCTAGGAGTCTCCTATGACTAAACTGTACTTTTTAATCATTTTTATGTACTTACTACTTATTATATTATTAAGTACTTACTATAATAATTAAATAAATTATTTTATTTAATATTTAAATTAAATGATAAAATGATAGGTAATAATAAATCATTGTGTAGGGGGACAGGCAGCCAGTGTATATATACATGTTAGGCTTATACCAAGGTCCCACAAAGGTGCCACAAAGGTGCCAAATTAAAGACTGGGTGCTGCCGGGGCGGGCCCAAGGGCTGCTGGCGGCCCTGGCCAGGCTGAACTTCCGCGCCCTTCCAATCACCATTGTTTAATAATCTTCACAGGGAGAAACAACTGTTAATATAGGAATAGTTTATTACAACATACACGGTAAAGAAAACGGGAGGCCTTGGGTCTAGCGAGAGGTCCGGGTGGATGGAGGTGTGGCCAGATAAACTGTGTTCCAGTCATGTCTCCGTGAGGCGCGTGTTGTGTGACGGTTACTGGCGGTGGTTCCTGTGTCATGCTACCAGGGCGGGTGTGTCGCTCTGTCTCATCCCACACCTGCCGCACTGCTTGCTCTCATGCCACACCTGCAGCACTGCTTGCTTTCATCCCACACCTGCCTCACAGCTTGTTCTTATGCCACACCTGCCTCACAGCTTGTTCTTATGCCACACCTGCCTCACAGCTTGTTCTTATACCACACCTGCCTCACTGCTTGCTCTTATACCACACCTGCCTCACAGCTTGTTCTTATGCCACACCTGCCTCACAGCTTGTTCTTATACCACACCTGCCTCACTGCTTGCT